AGCCAAGGGACGGAGAGAGGCTGTAGCAAGCCAAGACTCCTGGGAAAAATAATCATCATTATGCTTTTTCCCAACTTTAATTATGCTATGATGCCAACCTGTTCCCAATTAATCCAGTTAGTCAGGAGAAGTTTCTCAAGACCTTTTTAAAGCATTTAAACAACTTTTTCAGCCTTTTTTCATCCCTGAACCAACTATTATAAAGCATTAGAGTAGGGCTTGTATAACTGTGGCTGAGACTTTGAAAGAAAAGGTGAAAATCAATGACTTCAAGTGTCGCAGCAGCAGGTTACAGACCCACAATCATTATCATAATCATCTTAGAGCAGCTGCAGTGTGCGAGATAACTTATAAGCAGTGGTGGTAACCTCTTTAATTCATGAAAAAGCCTGTAAATGTGAGTATTTATTGCAGGAACAGCACTTTTTTAATGAAGATTCAGCTCATAAAATCCAATCTTTTCTCAAGAGTTGCCAATGCAAGAAAAAGTGGCGCAATTTCAGCCCTCTTATCCCCAAACCGGACTCCCAAACTCAAGTCCATAACATTTTATGAAACCACCCATGTGTGCCAAGAACTTGATTTTAATACGTCACCGCCTAATTGAGATTAAACCACTGTATTGACTGTCACTGAAGATGAATGGAGGACTTTGTTACTGGGATTAAATGAATCATTTTCCTCCCCGCACTCCTACAGAATCAGTATCTGGTTGCTCGCCAGCACACATCACAGCTTAAATGAGAAAATCTGGCATGGATGCAAGTATTAACAACCCGGGCGGCGTTGTAAGGGAGAAAGCCACGTTTCTCCTCTATTCCCCCCCTTTAAAATAGAGAGGATGAGTCCAGTAGGAGGGAAATGCCTCTGAGATCCATTCATGCTTCGAAGCAGGTGTCAAAATAAATCTGCAGGGATTGATTTTTTTTGCTCGCTTAGGCACACTGTTCACAGCGAGAAAAAGACACTGGCTGTGAATTGTTGTTACGACCCTTTGACTACAAGGTGCAATCCCATTGAGCAGCTTGCCACAGAGGCTTATACATCCCCCCCTTCTTTTCATTTTTACTGTCCCTTTCACTTCCTTACAGTCGCAGCATATCTGACAGAGTGATAAAGCACAGCATGATGACACTCATCCTTTTAATGCAGACACACACACACACACAGAGGGACAGGGTGGATTTTACTAGTCCATGTTAAGTGACATGGATTAACAGGCAGATAAATCATTGTGCTTAATATTAGGCTATAAAGCGTGCAGCATTATGAAAAGCACAATGCTCTCATCTACTTATCTTTCATTCTGTCTGTCTGTCTGTCTCTCTCCCACACACACACATAAATGCCAATAAGCCAACACGCACTTAAAACACCACAAATTAATGTCACAGATTCAGAGCTGACCTCACTGAGCTCCAAAAACGAGCCACTTTCGTGCAGTTACACCTTAAAAAAGACTCACTAAATCCAAAGTACGTCTGCTGAAACGAGTTTTTAACACGCTGCTGGAAGTTGACAGCTCCTTTATGCCACATTAGAGGAGAGAAAGGCGCTTTAACTGCTCCAAACTGCGCATTCATGAACACAAATTGAGTTAAAAACTCCATTTGACTCGCACGAGCTGCATCCGTCCGTGGAGCGCGAGAGCGTCCCAAGGTAGTTCCTAGACAGCGTTCAGGTAAACGCCACGCACGCGATGAAAAAAGCAGCATATTCGAGCACTTACCGAGGGTGTCGTCCACGTCCACGTCGGTGAAACTTGTCCAGACAGCCGGGGCCGAGTGGGGCTCCGTCCGCTCCACACCGCGCGGATACCTCCTCTGCTGCTCGCCTCCTCGCGCTGCATGCACGCTCGTTGAGGAGGAGGAGGCAGCCGGTGGAGGGAGGGGGGGGGGGGGAGCCGACCAATCAGGAGGGAGATAAAAGCAGCCAATCAGAGGGAGGAGGCTGATGCTGTGGAATGACTTTGAGGCTAATTTAATTGAAAGGGCAAAAATGAAGGAAAGTTTCACACTTAAAGCTCCTGTTTGTAATTTTTAACTAATTTTACAATCAGTTACTTTATTTATATATTTATTTTCCTCGTGTGTATAAAAACACAAGTACCAAACATAAAAAGCACCGACAAGAAATAGACAGAGTGTACAAAAAACGCTCAATAAAACAACAACAATCCACAGAAAGAAGCTTATGGTTGCTTCCTCCTGCCCTCACACTCAGAGCCGACTCTGGCCTCAATGGGGCCCTAAGCAAAATTGATTTTGGGGCCCTCTATTTCTGCCAATAATATTGATTGTTGATCATTCACACACCTTCACAAATCTCTTTAACATTCCATGACATGCAAACATACCTTTATCTTGGCGTTTTTTCTCTTCTTCCTCTTTCTTTCCTCTGCTCCTGAAGGATATGTCCTTTTTTGTGACATTGTATTGTCCCACAATTACCTGCACTTTGACAGAATTTCACAGCAGGAGGCACATAATGGTAGTGGAGCTTTGACATATTGGCAGTAAGAAGTATAGGCCTACATCACTTTTACTTTTTTTTTCTACAATATTTATTTGATCATACAGAAACCATCACTCATACACGCAAAACATAAAAAATATATTTTTTTTTTAAATTTTTTGATTGCTCTTGGGGGCCCCCTATTGGCTGCAGGGCCCGAAGCAGGCACTTAGTTCGCTTATGCCCTGGGCTGGCTCTGCTTCCACTCTTATGAAAGTATCAATATTCAACATAAACTAAAACAAAATAAACAGTTTGACAAAAAAAGAAGAAAGAGGTAAAACTAGGCAAGATTTCAACTTTTAGAATAATTTTTGGACAGTGTTTTGGACTCATTCATTTCCTCTAAAATAATCCATAAAGAGCTGTATATAAACATGTTTAACAATAGAGATGTTCACACTCTCTTTTAATGCCTTGTCAAGGCTGTTCCATAGGGTTCTCCCCATAGACTGTATATAGAATAGACGCCGTCTGCCTCCTCGCTGGGTGGAGCCACTCTGAGAACAGCACCCTCTGGTGACGGGCTGCAGTATAGGTCATAAATCCCGCCTCCACAAGCAAAGCTTATGGGCTTTGGACAAACTAGTCTATGGTTAGCCCACAAACAGAGGTGTACATGCTTTTTTTTGGTTGTACAGACAACAGGATATTTTCATATACAGTGTCCACTCAAGTCATAACCCCCCTCTCTATTAGAAAACCTTTTTTGTATGTTTCGTTTGTATGTTTTTGTATGTGCGTGCAACACCAAAAGTAAACTGAAAACAACCATTACCAGTGAGAATATTCAAAACAAAACAAATAAAAAAAAAAAAAAAATGATAATAATGTGAACCCAACTTGTCCAAAAAGGGGAGGATGAAGCCTTGTGTTTTTTTTTAAACCTACTACTTTCCATTTCAGGGTTACTTTTGTAAATATTTCGTCACAATACAACAACAAGTAAGTGGTACAAAGAAAATAGAAATTTTTAAACCAGAATATGTCTTGATTTGCTTGATAGTTCAAAACTTTTTTAATATGTAGTTTCCAGCAGGTCTATCAGGACACCTAAGAATTTGATCTCAGAAACTTTTTCTATAGCGACGATGTCAATTTCAAGGCAAACTTGCGTTTTACATTTACGGTTTCCAAAAAGTATTACATTAGTTTTTATCACGTTTAAAGAAAGTTTATATGTATGTGACTATTTTGTGTAAAAGTTTTTTTGTTTTTTGAAGCAATTATGCGGTGTGCCTCAGAATGTTTGTGCATTTGACCTTTTAGGCCACCATACAAATACGACAGTTCATGCTGCATTTCCCACCACAAACGTTTTTAAGTGACAAACTCGACTTTTAAAGGACAGCAGGATTATATTTTTTTGGCAGGAACTCTCTATTTATGCATGTGCAGGTCAAAAACAGCAGAGAATTCACATTTGCTACTTTGTCCACAAGGTGGCGCCAAAATCTGCACAAACCAAAAGTTCCTCCCAGGAGTTTTAATTCAATACACACATGGAAATAAAGTTAGAGGAAAAAAACTGCAGATTATATATTCTTTCTCGCTTTGCTGCAGAGTAGAGACAGACAGTAGAAACAATAACACGAGACATGTTTTGTTTCTTTTATTCCTGACAATTTTCTGCCTCTGACAGCCGTGAAACAACCACAAAGGATGAAGAATGGCGTTCAACAAAGGTCAAACCAGAGAAATTGCTGTTCATTTTGGATTAGCATAAACCATCACAGTGTATTATCTCCTCATTGCCTCCAAATTTCCTGAAGAAGTATTTGAGCTGAATATTAATAAAATTTCTCACATTGTGCCCCTGTGGATTTATTAAGCCCAACAAGCACAAAGAGAGAACTCTGCATAATGTAACTACTGTCAGAGTCTTTTTTCCTGCATAGTCGATGTGGACTCTGGATTGTAGAGTCAAACAAAGAGGGACAGTTTTGATGTGTTTGCATTAGAGTTGTTACCATTAGGGTTTTGTGTCTGGATTCTGCCAATTTAATGGTTTAAAATGCGCTAAAATGGAACCACTTTTGTCCCGAGACTGATTGCATCTTGCAGCCTACAATGCCCACAATGCAACTGACCTGCTGATTATCCAGTGGTATGCTAATGTAGCCTCTAGCCTCAAGATGAAAGGTAGGAAATGGACGTTTGTTGGTCCCACTCTATACAAGCCCCCTGTATGAACATAATCTGCAGCATGTAGCTAAAGGTGTAAGTGCTTAAAAGTGCAATTCCTCAAGTGTCCACTAGAGGCTGACGACAAAAAAGCTAAAAAAGTCCTTTGTAAGCCTGTTCTTAATTGTACAGGAGTGAATTTTCTATGATTTATTAATTTAGAAGATAAATTGACAAAAGTCGCATAATTGGGGGTGTGTCTAATTGACTGGCAGGTGTCATGATGCGTCATGGAAGCAAGAAGAGACAGAACCCGAGCTCTATTTGCCATTTACTCGCAAGTGATCTGTACAGTTTTCGAAAAACAATTGTTTGCTGCGTCATATAGTCTTGTGCACAATATGACGCAGCAAACAATATTCAGCACAAAAATATAAAGCCTTTTATATAATTTTTTTTTTAATTTCACGAACATCCTGGAAAAAACCAAATACATCTATACAACATCATAAAATTCAAGAGATGTGAAAACAACAGACGCAACTTCAGACGCGGCAGTCTGAGCAGTGACGTCACAACGTTGCGCCATGTAGTGTAACAGTCAGCTATTTAGTGAAACCCCAAATGGAGGTTAGGGGTTAGGGACTGAGTGATTCAATTCGGACACAGCCTGAGTCTGCATTTTCAATATTGCGACCGTCTTGAACCCCATTTCAGAACACGGTATGTAATCTACTTCAGATTGCGTTCATATATTGTATGGCCCGTCCCATTCGATATATCAGAATTCGGCCTGTAAGGTATCTTGTTTTGGCTGATACGGTCTAGAAGAACACTTGTAGGCATTAAGAACTATTTAATCAAATCAAATCAAACTATTTATAAAGCACTTCTCATACAAGAAATGCTGTGTTTATGGGTGCACAGTTTGAAACAGTTAAGCGACCTTCTCTTTTCTAATGTGTCATAAAGGAGCTGTCAAATTCCAGCAGCGTATTAAAAACTCGTTTCAGCAACCTTACTCTGAATTTAGTGAGTCTTTACACATATGAGGAAGGAATAAGTGTATTTTTTGACTGACTTGAAAAAATTGTGGACTGGTCCTTTAACCTCCTCTATCAGGCGCAAGGCCAATCAGGACCGTGAACCTGTAAAAACAGACAGAAAACTATAGTTAATTACAGAAAAATTAGTGTTTGTTTGAAAATGTGGCACCATTTTACTGGTCTTTACGACTTCACAGTATATTGTGCAGCTTTATTATCTGTTATCTATTCTTTCCAACTGGATGGGCAGATGTTTGGGTTTATAATTACTTGGCAGCAGGGATAAAGGGATGGTACAAAATGTAGAAAATTACACCTTCTTTGGGCTGTCAATGAAAACGTTACTGGAAAAAGAATGGCCCAATTAAAAAAGATGCCAAACAGCATTTCAGGAAAGGATGCTGAATTATTGAACCAGAAACTGTCAGCACAATGTAGCATGATGACCCACACTGAATATGTAGAGCCATCACTTCTCTGACAATAACATACATTTTTCTTTGCTGGTGTAATTAACATTGCAGTATATTCTCTCTGCAGCCAATTACCCAACGAGTTCACGCTGTAAGTGAGGAGAGGGGAGAAAAATCTGTCAGAGGTGACAAAAGCCACCTAATGGAAAAATCTGTAACTCCTACAACAGGCGTGCTCTATCAGTGAAAATCAATACCCCTTTCGCCAAAGAGATCTCAGCTGGACTGTGTTCTTTAGGTAGGCCATAGATCACACAAGCCTGCCGTATAAAGGGGACACAGCCGAGTGTCACCGCCGCACCCATGTGTTTGCGCACTACCGATTAAATAGTCATAATCTGTTGAGTTAAAGGAGCTTTATTTCAAACAGAAGACACAAAAAGAAATGGAAAAACTTCTTTATTCAGACACAAAAGAGAGCTGGCAGGCATCCAATCAAAGAGAAACACAAATTGCAAATCAGTGGCGTACTCAGGCTGTGTGAGGGGCAGGGGTGACATAAACTAAAAGGGATCCTGCTGCTAGAGGATTCTAGTATTATTCTTCAGGAACAAACCTTGCATAACAACAGAGGACATAGAAGAAAGGTAGTTAATCACATTTAATCCAATTACAGGGCATCCAGGGGGCACATAGTCTGGATTTTATCCAATGAAACCCATCCAAAGGGCATTTAGTCTATGTATTATCTACTGAAGGCAACCAGAGGGCACTTTGTTTACAGATAAGTCAACAACAAGGAAACCAAAGGACACTTTGTGCTTGATTTTATACTGGAAGGGCATCCAGAGAGAGCTGTTATTGGATTTTTTTTCCACAAAAGGGGCTTCAAGAAGGGACTTTGTTTACATTGATCCACTGAAGGGAATACAGAAGGCACTTTGTCTACATATACACCACTGGAAGGGCATCCTGTGGGGACTTTGTTTACATTTGATCTACTGGAAGAACAGCCAAGAGGCACTTTTTAAACACAATTTAAGGCATATAAAGGACAATTTGTTCGCGTTAAATCGGGCATCCAGCAGGCAGCTTGTTTACTCTTTATCCTCCTTAAAGGCATCTTAAGGTTAATTTAATTACACATTACCCACTAGTAAGGCATACAGAGGTCACTTGGTTTACATTTTTTTCCATTGGAAGGGCATCCAGGTAGTATTTTTTGCATATTACCCACTGGAAGAGCTTCCAGAGGAGACTTTGTTACATTTTATTTCCTAGAAAGGCATCAAGAGGGCAGTTTTTACATAATCTAGAGCATCCAGAGGACTTTGTTTACATTGAATCCCCTTGAAAGGCATCAAGAGGGCAGTTTTTACATAATCTAGGGCATCCAGAGGACTTTGTTTACATTTTATCCCCTTGAAAGGCATCAAGAGGGCAGTTTTTACATAATCTAAGGCATCCAGAGGAGACTTTGTTTAAATTCAATGGTAGGGCATTCAGAGGGTCCTTTTTGACATGAACCACAGAGGGCATCTTTCAATGTTCTATGTGCTTTAAGGCACTATAAAGGGCAGTCATGCAGTCTACCACCCTTACCCCTTCCTGAGTACTCCACTGTAGCCCTTGTAAGATGATTCAGCAAAAATATAGATGTAGATGCAAGAAAAAATATTCACTTCCTGTTTCATTGCACACCAGGTGCATACCATCAGCATCAAACAAAGCTAAATATTGAATAAAAGAGCAGAAGTATATCTTTCAAACTCAGTAAAAAAAGAAAAACACCCGAGCAGTTCATCTCTCCATGGACATAGATGTGAGATTGATATTAGCTGAACAGGCTGAATTCAAGAGTTGTCACTGTCATCCTCATCATAGTATCTGTTCCTCTTGATCTGCTCCTCCACTGTCAGAGCTTCATCCTCGTCTCCCCACAGAGAAAAAGTGCCGTCCTTTCCTGCGCCGTTTGTTGTTTTCATTTCATCCTTCCCGCTCGCTCCCATCCCAAAATCCAAAAGGTCATCCAGCGCCGACACCCGCGGCTGTGGCTGTGGCGCTGCCTCTGCGTCAGATTGAGCGAAGATGTCGGATTGGAAATCAGATAGCAGGTCGGAGCCGCTGGCGCTCAGGCCGGCGAAGATATCCTCGAGGAAGCTTGTTGTGCTAATCTTTGGCTGCTCGGTGGCCTCATTTTGAAGAGTGAGCGCTCCCTCGGCTGTGTCTGAGAAGAAATTTGTGTCTGAATAAAAGGGGTCTGTGGCTTCGTCGTGTTTGGCACCCGCTGGCACAAAGGCGTCATCCCTCTGTGCCAGTCGCAGCACTTCACTTGGCATCCATTTTGATTCCTCGCAGAGATCAGCCGGGAAGAAATCTGTATCTGTTGCTGTGCCTGACAGAAAGAGTGACTGATGTTTCTCTCCCTCCGCTTCTGTCAGCCCCTCAAAGGGGACTTCATGGTCAAGCAGTTTCTGGCTATTACTGTTATTATTGTTGGAGTTAGCATTCAGCGCCTGTCCCGCAATCGCCTCCTCATCTATTAGCGTGACCTTTACCGCCTCCCCATTGTTCATGCCGTCATTTCTCCCTTTATCCTTCTCCTCCTGGCTTTCTTTCTCACCTCCTCCCTCCATCTGCCCATCATGTCCATTTACTTTCACATCCTCCACTCTTTCTCCACTCTCATCCGCCGCTTGCATATTTTCCACAGCATCAATCTTTCCGCTTTGTTCTTCTTCAACTACTTCAGGTTGTGCTTTAGAGTCCATTTCTGCGCCCGCTTGTGTCGCAGTCTTACTGTCGCTGTTTGAATCTCTAGTTTCTTGAGAGTGAGAAACACTCGCTGGAGCCGTTGACTCTGCTGGAGTCTCCACAGGCCTTACCTCATGCTCTGTTAAACTGTTACCCTCTTGCACCTTGGCATCTTCCTGGGGTCCGTTTTGCACTCCAGCAGCGGGGATATTAGTCTCTTTTAATGAGGGCCTCAACGGCTGATTTAGGTCTTCATTTTCCTGAGCTGAGCCCTCCTTTGGGGGCCATGATAGCTTAACCAACTTCAGCTCCTCCTCTATCACGAAGGGTTTCTTTGGAGAGTCTGACTGAGGAGGCCAAACAACTGAAATCTTGCTTGCTGCCTTTTTGCTTTCCTCGTTTATCTTATTATGATCCTGAGTGACTAACGCGCTCTGAGCTCTTGAATCCGTGATTTTCCTCTCAGGTGTTGGTGATTTGACTCTTGTTTTCTCACTTGAATTCTCCTGATTCTTACTACTCCAAAGTTCTTTGTGTGGTTTTTGCCCAAATCCCTCATCATAATTTCCTTTGGACTTGAACAGTTGCTTGTAGTGTGGCTTGCAGTACATTCGTCCATGGAGAGAGGCGTAGTTGCCAAGACTGTGAAAAAAAAAGAAGAGAAAATAGAGGTTGGAGAGGTGCAGAGACAAATCAAACAAATACTGACGCAGCGTGATATTTACTCACCTTAGTTTGCCTCTGCAGTGCTCACAGCGAAAGCAGCTTTTATGGAAGTTTTGTTTGTCTGCAATCAGAGACTCCATGGGGTACACCCTCTTCCGACACACCCTGCACAGTTCGGACTCTGGAACTCGAATTCTCTGCGAAAAGAAAAAGAAAAAAAAACTCTCACAATTAAAGGTTTAAAATATCCCTCTTGTCTCCGAGTATATTAACTGGAAAAATCACCATGCACTTCTGCAGAACTTGCAATGAAAATAATCGTCCAGTTCGTAAACTTTCCAGTTAATTGCCATTGTAACCTCAGGCGGTTTTCCCTTTAGCGTCCTGGCATCTAACTCCTGCAAAGATGCAATACATTTTCCTGTCTTCTCGCAAAAATTCATCCTGCTGATTCATAACGGAGATATTATAACTTATTCCAAATATTTAATGTGTGAAAAGTAAAAACAGGGATGTTTCCTCAGCTGCTTGGCTGACACCTACCCCCATACGCCGGTTTTAAGCTTTAAACATTACAGCATAAAACATATAAATCTTATCTTTGTGGTCTTGTTTACTTTTATATGTGATAAAAGGCACTAATATGAATTTCAGACTATTTCATAGATGTAAAAAATGTGATATAGAACCAGTTGTAGGGTCCAAACCAAAAAAGGCTCCCATAAATCTTTGAGTCTCACTTCAAGCCTTTGAATGCAGATATATCTCTTCATTTTCTTAAGCTTTGTCACCAGTTTTAATCACTTAAAAGAATATAAAATGAATGAATTTTGGATTAACTTTTAATCAGGCTTAAAAGAGTTTTCTTTTTGTCTGTAATCACTACTGAGTTGAGCGTCGCTCTTTTTAGGAAGCTTTCTATAAAATCATTTTAAAAATGTACGAGACGCTTTTGCCGACAGAGGACAAAACACACGACATCAAAGGGAGAGAAAGAGCTGTATCAGTGTAAATCAACACAATGTGGATCCTTTCAAATGTTAGAAAGATGTACTACAGTGTCAGCATTAAAATCACAATCAGTTCACTTCAACTCAGCTCGCCTGGAGGATTCAGTGATAGTCAAAATAAAGTGACTCAAGTGTGCGATGAACCTATAATAATGAAAAGAAAAGCTTTCTCTTTAACTCGAGATCAATTTCAACAAAAAGAAAATCCAATGTGTGTGTTGTTTTTAATCCGTTTAGAGCTTTGAAACAGGAACACACCTGGGCATGAAAAATATTAGTTCAGTATGTTAGCATCACCGCCAGTTTCACACATCAGAGGCATGAATAATTAGGACAAAGTGTAACCTGTGAATATTGAAATGTGTGAAACCGACGACAAAGTGAGTAAGTATGAAGGTTTCAAAGGGAGCGAAAATACATCAAAGCAAACATGTGACACTCATAACAAAGTCAAAGCAATGTTAATGCGCCTTTTTCCACACGGTGACGATAAATTCACACACAAAGCCTGTTAAACACACCGTCACGGTTGTTTAGTATCCTCATGCTGCACAGCTGGGTTTACCCGTCATGACAGTCTCCTGCTGGTGTGTTATGATCTGTGAGGTCCTCTGCTCTGTGACACTGAAACCAAGGTTCTGGAAAACTCCTTCGCTCTCAGCCCACGACTGCTGGAAGTTTCTCAGCAGCTCCTCGGTGGAGGCCTCGGGGGGTATGGTGACCGTTGCGACTTTGCCTCGCACCACGTCAGCGTATGATGGGGGGTTACCGCGGGTCAGGGAGCTCTCTGAATGGACCTCATTCCTCGTCTCTCTTGTCATGTTCCCGAAGTCGTCCACACTGCAGAATTGCTCAGTGACTGTTGTCGAATGGGATTGACCTGCCGGCTCGGAAGGGGCCGGTTCAGGTTCCCTTCTTTCTATTTGTTCTCTCAGCTCTCTGGCGGCCTGAGAACTGTGCTCCCCAGTCTCAAACACATCCTTTATGGCTTTGACGTTCAATGTTGGGACCTCCTCACTTTTCGGGGTTTGCGGTTCAGCCTCAACATCTTCAGTGTCGCTCCCGAGTCTTTCTGTGATGACAATGGGCTCTTTTCTCAAGTAGACCTTAGGTTGTGGGGATTCAAACCTGGTGACCAGCTTGGACAAGTCAACTCTGGGTAGATCTGCTTTTGAGAGATCTATAGTAACAGTCTCAGCACCCTCCTCTGCATCAGGACCAAGTCTTTCAGGGATATCGATCGGATCCTTCCGATAGTACGCCCTGTTCAGCTCAGCTTTCTGCGCTTCCTCAAAGAAGGACTTCTTGTCCCTGACGGTCATCATGGAGTCCCCCATTTCCGAAACATCCATTAACCCTTGCTCATGCCTTTCCACGGGGGTCCCCCTATCACTGAAGGGGGATGGCTGCTCCCTCTCGACAGCAAAGCACTCTGGGACTGGCATGGGAGGCGGAGGGGTCGCGCCGTGAGACAGCTTCGAGGTGGTATCGCGAAGTTTCATGAGCTTCTCCGAGCGACTCAGGGTGGGAGATGGTGTGGCACGGCTGAAAGACGACGTCGGCGTGAAGGACTTGCGAGGAGGTGGTGGCGGCGTGCCAATTGACTTGTACGGAGGAGGCGAAGGGGTCACCCTGAGCGGCGAATCAACTCTCCTTGACTCGATGCTGATGAAAGTGGGTGACGGGGTGCGGATGCTCGCCAACGGGGAGGAAACTCTCTGATCGGTGACGTCGCTCAACTCCTGTTGTACTTTGCTTTCCTGGAGACTCTTTTTCTTCTTCTTCTCCTCCATCACTTTCTTTTCTATTTTGGAAGAGCCAATGCTAATCTTGGATATTTTTGTGGTCGCTGCGGTGACGCTCTTCTCTGGCTTTGGAGGTACTGGTGGTGCTGATGCTGACACTGGCGCTGGTGGTGGTGGTGGAGGCAGCGGCGGTTCTTCTTCTGCCTTTTCTTGCTTTTCCACGGCTGCCAAGTTAACTTCCAAAAATGTGAGCTTGGCTTGAACAATATTTCTCACATAGGCCATCATCTCTTTCAACTTTTTCTTGCTCTGCTGTCTGGCAATTTCACCCAAATTCTTCTTCTCATCGGATCCCATCATCCAGTCGGGGATTTCGTTTATAATGGTTGCGACCGTGTTGGAGTCGATTCTGCTTGGCGTGCCCTCAAGCTCTTTTATTTCAGTGAGCAGCTTCTGCATTACATTATATTTGACTGAATCTGTGATCTCCTCTGATTTAGCCTCCTCTTTCTGGCTCATTTTTCCAACCCCTTTCACTGATACACTCTTTGGCTTTGCCCCCTTGATCTGAATTTTGTTTGTTTCCCCTGCTTGTACCTTAACTTGCTGCTTTTGCACATGAACAGCCTCCGTCTTTTGGAGGCTCTGCTGCACCACATTTTCAGTCACGACCACCTCCTCATGTTTTTGGATGTGCTCCGCCTTCACGCTCTGCTGGCTGTGGGAGACAGAAACATGGCCTTGTCCTTGATGGGTAGCTGCAGATGTTATCTTAGCCACCTTAGGCATTAAAACGGTAACCGATGGCGACAGCTTTACTTCAGCCTCATTCTTTTGCACCTGTTTCCCTTTTTTCACATTAACCTCCACTTCCATTTCCTTCACAGGGAGGGTCATCTGACACTTTTTCCCCTGGCTTTTCACTTCTGTTTTTATCTCACTTCTCGCTGACATCACCTGGCTGCTCTCCTTCACTTTGGTTTCACTTTTCAGCGACACATTGCTTTTCTCTTGCTGTAAATGCACGTCACTTTTCATTACTTCCTTTTGTTCGACAGTGTCAGACTTTTCCTCTTTCTTCTCAGCCGGCATCTTAAACGTTTTCACCTTGAAACTCGGGGTAACTTTTGGGATTTTAGTGGGCATAGAGGGACTCGTTTTCCCCTCCTGTGTCAGAGGCACATTAATATTCTTTACATCTTCGGCTTTCAATGTGACCGCGGCCTGGCTTTGAAGATTTACACTTTCCTGGACAGCGCTCTGTGTGGCAGTGATAGACTTGGTGCTGGACTTCTTAATAAACTGCTGCTCCGTGACCGAAGAGGTGACCACACTGGAGGAAAGCTTGGTGTCAATATTTGCAGCTTCTTGGTGCGACTTTGAAACAGAAACGGTCTGTTTCTTGGGAGGGGTTTTACTCTTCTTGATGATATCAGCGGAGGTATGCACTTTTTCTGAGGCGATGTCGCTCGCTGTGTGTTTTACGTCTGTGGAAACATTTGACGGCCCAGGGGCAATTTTCTTATTCGCCACTGAAATGGAAGGTTTGCCCAGAGGAATCTGGGATGGGATCTTCTTGACTGGAGAGTCTTGCGCCATGAAAACCTCTTTAGAGGCGGTTTTTGTTTCTTCTGTTTGTACTTGAGTCACCTCTGTGGCCACTTCTTGCTCAGTTTTCTGCACTGGAAGCTCAGCACTCGCAGCGGAGGAAGGCCTCGGAGAAGTGGGAGTCGTCACTCGACTCCTTTCCATTTCCTCCTTCTCCATCTGTTGTTGGCGAAACCTTTCCTCCGCGAGCATGAGTGGGGTTTTGAATTTGCGAGCATAAGGTCTTGCTTTTGGAGCAGCAGCAGGTTCAGGTGTTGGAGGAAGTTTCACTGGAGGGACAAACGCTTTTCTGGGCGGTTGTGGGCTTTCTTTTTGGATGCTCGGTATTTTTGTTCTCGACATCACAGCGGATTCAGACTGGATCTGCTTGCTTGCTTCAATCTGCTGTGATATTTCCTGTTTCACTTCTTGAACTTTTACTTCTTCTTTGCGCTCTGCTGGTGCTGCTGTTTCTTGCTCAGCAGGGACCTGAGGAGGAGCAGGAGGTGGAGGTGGAGGAGGGGGTGGAGGAGTCCGCTCCTTTTTCTGCCATTTGGGTTTGACGTGTATGGGTTGCTTCGGTGCCTCTGGTTGCTTAGGAATTTTGAATAAAGGCCTACCGATGGGTTTCGCTTGTTTTGCAGCGGGAGGCTGAGGCATGGCGTTTAGCTCTTGCTGTGACGGAGGCGGAGGGAGGAAATCTTGTCCGCTCACAGAGGCCAAAGGTGGAGGAGGTGGTGGAGGTGGGAAGAAATCAGGCTCCGACTTTGAGCATTCCAGGGGAGGCGGAGGAGGAGGAGGTGGAAGGTCGCTGTCCTGCCTCATGATGGAGGGCCTGGATGTGGGAGACACTGGGCTCTCCAGAACTGGCGATGGCGGAGGAGGGAGGGAGAGCTCAGACTCCGAGGGTGGAGGTGGCGAGGAAGGGGGAGGAGGGAAGTGAATCTCAGGCTTTGCCTTTTTGATCGCGCCTTTTCCTTTCATGTCAAGGCTCCGGTAATCACTCCTCATATTTTTGACGTTCTGCTTTTGTGTGAGCGCCTTATTCTCTGTTTGCTTCTGAGCGGATTGCTCTGATACCGTCACATTTTGCTTCTGCGTGACAGTTTTCTCCATCACTGTCGTGTGCACCTGTTTGATCGTCTTTGTTTCACATATTTGCTTGTTTGAAATATTTGTCTGCGACGTGTTTTGCACCTCTTTCATCACATTCACGTCAGCCGATTTAGTCTCGGTTTGATCGTTATTAGCCGTTTGTTTATTCTTTATTATAACAGGCTTAGGGGGTTGTATTTTCGGAGGAGGCAGCGCTTTCTGCTTCTGTTCCTTAATGCTCTTCTGCTGCTGAGAGGCCCCGGCGGTATTGTCTGTTTTGGCTACAGTAACAGAGTGCTCCTCTTGGGTTATTACCTGTGTTTTCACTGATTTGCTTTCCTGGTGCCTCTGTGTGTGCTTCTGTGACTCACTGCTCCTGGAGAGGTTTTTCACAGCGGGAGCCGGATTGACTGCTACACCCTCACTCTTTTCCTCATGTGGGCTTTCATGCTCTGCCTGCTTTGGCGTTAATGGATTCTTCGCAGGCGCTTTGGCTTTCTTTGACGGATACATACGTTTTGTATTTGAGTACTGTTTTCGTTGCATTAGAGACTTTATCGTCCCTTGAACGTCCCCTTTCACCACCTCCTCTTTTTCCACTTGAGTTGAATCTTGTCCTTCGTAGAGACTTTTGATTGATGTTTTTACATCTCCTTCGATGCTTCCCCGGCGCTGCAATCTCGGAGACGTTGTTGGCTCAAGCAAAAGCTGGATAGTTGCTTTAACATCCCCCTGTTCACTGACTTGATGCTGGTAAATCTTTTTCTCGCTTGACGCTTCGTGTAAACTCTGCATGGCGGTGTGAATGTCTCCCTTGATGATCTCTTCTTTCTCGACTTCTTTTATAGCTTGCTTGGCCTCCTCCAAAGACTTCAGGGTCCCTTTGATATCACCTGCCACTAAATCCTCAATAGTCACTTCTGTGGAGGTAGTTGCAGATTTTTCAAGTGATTCCAAAGCACTTCTAATGTCTCCCCTGACAATCTCTGGCTTTTCTATTTCTTTGGCTTGATGTTGGGCCTCCTCCAGAGACCTCAGAGTGTTGGGTATATCCCCTTTTACCACTTCTTCTTTCTCAATTACCACTTTCTGATTGATAGCTTGAGTAAGGGAGTCCAAGGCTGCATTGAGATCACCTTTCACAATGTCCTCTTTCTCAAGGTTTCTATAGGTAACAGCCGGCTCCTTCATAAAGACTTCAACAGTGCGATGTACGTCTCCAGGAACTATATCATCCTGCGCCACTGTGCGACCGATCTGCTGCTTCTTCCGCAGCATAATCTTGGTCTCTTCAACATCACCGCCGATGATGTGCTCTTTTTCTACAGTTTCCTGTGTTTCATCCGGCTCGAACTGAAGCTGCTTCAGGTAATCGAGAGCCCCAGACTCGATGCACGTCGAGTAAAAGCTGACATTACCTCTTTCTGTGTCTTTAACGCGTATCTTTTTCGAGTCCTCGTCTCCTGAGTTGGACAAAAGCCGATGAAGGGTTTTGCTGACATTACCTTGAATAATATCCTCTTTTTCCAAACTGGCCCTCTCTCCTTTATTTAGCAGCGAGTAGATCGTCAGTTTAACGTCACCTTTCTCATCCTCCTGAATGAGGATGCCTCGCTTGGAGGAGCCCTCGCTCTTGAGCAGATTGTTGATTGCTTCTTGAATGTCGCCGCGGATAATTTCCTCTTTTTCCACATTTATTTCCTTTTCCTGACTGAATAGCTGCTTCACCGTGGTGTTGATATTACCCCGCTCCTCCTCGTCAATAGTTATCCCTCTCTCAGTGGCCTCTCTGCGATTGAGGAGATTCATCATTATGTTGTTCAGATCCCCTCTGATGATCTCTTCTTTTTGGATCTGTGGCGCCTCTTGGCTCATGAGTTTGTACTTAGCCATACGGACATCCCCGATCTCGTCCGTCTCAATGAGAATACCTTGGGACTCCACCATTTTTTGACAGTAAAGCTCCTCCAGAGTCTCTTTGATGCTCTTTCCTATTATTTCTGTCTTCTCTGTTCGGCTCTCGTTGAATTCGTGGAATGGAGTGGTTTCAAATAACCACGTCGTTGTCTTCACATCGGCCTGTGGGATTTCTTCTTTTGTGACAATCAGCTCTGTGCTGTCTGCGTCTTTGATTCTGTCCAGGGGCTGCTTCTCAAACAGCCACACAGACTCTTTGACATCCCCTTTCATTACTTCCTCTTTTGTCACCCTCTCCATGCCATCATACTCGGCGCCTTCGCCGCGGATCTCATCAATGGTGCGCGTCTCAAACATCCATGTGGCAGATCTGACGTCGCCTTTCTGGATCTCGCTCACGCTCACAGTTCTGATGTACTTTTGAGACATTTCGTCAGTCTCAAACCGCTGCTTGTTTGTTTTTACATCACCTCCTTGGATATCTGCGACTGTTTTGGACCTCACTTTGATATCCTCTGCAATTTCATCCAGGGGTTGCGTTTCAAACTTCCACCTCGCCGAGTTGACGTCTCCTTTATTGATCCCTTCCTCTGTCACAGCTTTAATAACATAGACTTCCTCTGAATCTCTAATTGAATCCAAAGGTTTGGTTTCAAACAGCCATCGGGCCCCCACCACATCTCCTCTTATTATTTCTTCCTTTGTAACCGTGGTTACTTCATGGTAATGGCCCTCTTTGTCCCGGATTGCATACAGTGGCTGAGTTTCAAACATCATGGTGTAGTTTTTTACATCCCCCCTCTCTATTTGATCTGTGAAGATACTCGTGATCTTAGAAATGTCTGTCTCAGAGGACTCGTCTTTAATTTTATCCAGAGAGTACGTCTCAAAAATGAAACGGCCTTTGTCGACATCGCCTCCTTTAACGTCTGTCACAGTGCGGATCTCTTTTGCCTCCTCGCGAATCTCATCAATCGGCTGATTCTCAAACATCCAGGTACAGTTCACTACATTCCCCTTCTGGATGTCCTCAGCTTGCTGAGTCTTTAACCTCTGCATCATTTCCTCAGACGTGGAGCTCATTATGTCCGTAGAGCGGTTCTCAAAGATGAACTTCATCCTGGAAACGTCGCCTGACTGGATGTCGATTTCTGTGACCCTCCTGAAGGAACCGCTGTCCTCACCCGTGAGGTTTTCAAGTTTCTCCGTTTCGAAAAGGAAGCGGGCCAGTCGCACGTCTTTTCCATGGACGTCCTCTTGCTTCACTGTGCATGTTTTGAGAATAGTTTCCGACTCGGACTCGGTGTGATCGCGAATGTTGTCAAGGGTTTGGGTTTCAAAGAGCCAAGTGCATGTTTTGACGTCACCTTTTTGCACCTCTTCAACGTCCGTCTCGCTCTTTTCCACCTTTTCGTACAGAACATCCATCGGTTGAGTCTCAAATAACCACCTGCAGGTCTTAACGTCGCCTTTTTGTATTTCGATATTTTCCTTGGTGGTACATTCTTCATCCTCGACATTATTAAATGCTTTGATCGCATCGAGCTGTTGCGTTTCAAACAACCACTTGGCAGTTTTGACATCCCCCGACTCGATCTCCTCTTTGGAAATCCCCTTAATGAGCTGGAACTTGTTAATGCTTTCATCAAACTCATCGATTGGACGCGTTTCGAACATCCACCTGCAGCTCCTCACGTCGCCCTTCACGATCTCCTCACGCCTCACGGTCCTGACCTCATGGTAATGACCAGAGCTGTCTTGCATTGCATACATGGGTGTAGACTCAAACAGGACTCTGTTGGACTTCACAGACCCACTCGTGACACCCTCAACTTGAATTTTCTGCGCCCCTTCGCACTTACTCAAGTCCATACTCTCAAACCTTTCTTTATAGTTTGTCACATCTACTTTGTCCAGAGCTTCAACATTCACGGTTTTTGTGATCTCCTTCTTTTCTTCCCGTATGTTCTCCAGCGGCTGGCTTTCAAAGACCCATTTTTGGTGTCTTACATCACCCTTTTCTTCTTCTGATGCAACCATTTTCTTAAGTTTCCCCACCTCTAGCAGTTCTTTCAGGTCCTCCATTGGGACTGTTTCGAACAGATGTTTAGCGGATTGAACATCCCCTCCTACAATTTCCTCTGAAGGTACAGGTCTTGCATTGGTGTTGTCTTTTAAAGTGTCCATCGGTTGAGTCTCAAACACCAGACAATGCCTCCTCACGTCGGCGCCAATAACTTCTTCCTTTTGCTTTCTGGTGCTCTCCCATTCCTCGTCCTTGATGCTGTCGAGAGTCTTTGTCTCAAAAAGCCACCTCCCTTTATTCACACCGCATTGGACATTGTCCTCCATGGAAATACTACAGATGAGTTTAACCTGCGCAGGATCTTTGTTAATCATGTCCAGAGGCTGGGTTTCAAACATCCAGCGGGATGTCTTGACGTCTCCTTTTTCGGTCTCCTCCCTACGGATGGTGGTGATCTCAAGCATCTCTCCAGAATCCCCTCTTATCACGCACATGGGCTGGGTCTCGAACATGCGAGTGGTTGTCTTCACATCTCCTTTAATCTCTTCCAGCTCAGATTTCAGATTCAAGAAGTGGCTTTCCTCAAAGGTTTCTGTTTTACCCAGAGAATCCAGATGCTGAGTCTCGAAGAGGTACCTCGCGGTTTTCACATCGCCACCCGTGATGTCTTTGGAGACAATGACTTCCATCTCCTGCTCGTCTTCTTGGTAGATCTTGTTCAGGCAGTCAAGTGGTTGTGTCTCAAAGAGCCATGTAGCAGTTCGGACGTCTCCTCTTGCGAGTTCAGCTGACTTTTCAGACTGCTCAGTTGACTCAGCGGTCTCCGTACCGAGAGCATCCATCGGTCGTGTCTCAAACATCCAAGCTGTGTATCTGACATCTTTCCCAGCAATGATTTCCTGCTGGGCGATGTTCCTCTCCTCATTCTCATCTGGAGTTTCATCTTTGATCGTATCCAGCGGTTTGTTCTCAAACATCCAGCGCATGGACTGCACTTCCCCTTTAAGGATCTCGTCCCATTCCACGGACTCTCTGTCAGGGCTAGAACACTGACTGGATGCGTTGCCGTCGTTTTCGAACATATAGCACGCCTGCTGGACTTCGCCCACCACCTCCACGTTTTCCAAGTCCTGCTTCTCCTCCTCAGTGAGATGACTCAAGTAGTCTTCCTCCAGGTTCTTGCGGACTTCTGGGTGAATATGCTTGTAAAGGCGTTTCAGCTCGGCCATACTCTTGTGCTTGAAGTACTGCTCTTTGTTGAGAGTGTGCTTTTGTTGGGAGGCCTGCTCCTGATACTGAGAAGGTGTTTCCTGCAGTAGGTTTGCAGGCGGAGGAGGGAAACTGTCGGGTACTTGGTAGGCCGACGAAGAGGTGGATGCTGCCGATGAGGCGGCAGCGGTCTTTATAGTCGAGGTGCTGTCGTAGCTTGTCACGGCTGAGGTTTTAGAGGACTGATTTACAGGTGTCCATTGAAACTGGCTCAAATCCACATCAACCTGGAGTTTGTTTGTGTTTTTAGTTTGGGAAAAAAGGAAAGAATGTAAATGATGAAGAGAAGAAAGAAAAAGGCAGAAAATTGAGATAAAGAACAGAAAATGAAAGCTTGAGGAAAAGAATAATCAGGGAAATTATTTATCTTCAAGCTAAAACGATTATGATAAAAGTTTGCTCTATGATTTGTGCAACTGAGTAAAATTGCGTGTCTGGGGCTGGAAGCAAAACCATCAAATTTGGAAAAAAATCGTGTTTTAGATTTATTTCCATGAGAGGAATTTTACTGGTACCATCTGTTATCTTCACCCTGCCAGATGCTCATACTGTAGTTTAAGTAGCAGTGGAAACAGTGATGTACACCACTGCCTGTGACCAATTCCAGGACTTTTGCACAACCCTGTCCACTCAGCGTAGATGTCTTGAACAAAAGAGTCTTTCCAGCACTTCACAAGGTTATTTACTAAATAGAATTATACTTTGAACCAAGAAGAGTTGAACCAGGGTCTGCACAAAGTCCTTTTGTCTGTATTTGAAAGTACAGGTACTCTTGCAGCACTCAACTTGCTGCAAGTTGATCTAATTTATCTGAAGATGTTCAGTTTTTCGAAACAAGTTGCCAGGATGAAATTTTAATGAGCATATCTTTTAGTTTCAGCATTTGTTTTGTTGTCTTTGCGCCATTTCCAATTACAAAGAATAGGGTTGAATGATTGGAAAACCCTTTTTTAGAGATATTTCTCAACTTTTTAGAAGTTAAAGTCCTTGGTACTTTTGGTGGCTTTAGATCTTGAGTTTGCTTCTCGAGACATTTTCAGTCATGCCCGCTCCTAATTACTGACTTGATTGAAACCTTCATTGAACATCACTTACAAAGCAGGCAGTAGCTTGAATTCTCGCTTTTATGTGAAGTCTCCTGAGTTTTGCTGCAATGACATGAGTTTTTTTTTAATCTATACTAATTTATTCTTCGTCAGCTTCTGGCAAGTGCAATTTCCTTTTGATGATTTCATGATGTGGCGTCATCCTCTTACTGACACCTCACAGAACAACAACCATCATCTGTTTAGGTAAACAGAAGGCATCATTACCTTAATTTCCTTGGCTGGCGTGGCTTCCTCAATAGTCTTTTCATACTGCTGCTTCAAAGCTTGAGTGGAAACCTTTGGTAGGTCCTCTCCTCCGACGAGCATAACTGAATTAGACACAAGAAGAAGGCTGTCTCATTAAGTCATTCCCGGTGAGGGGGCTCAGAAGGGGGGATCGGAAAGAGAAATAAATCATTTCATTAAAAAACCTGAGTAGTTTTCATTTTCTGAAACCATGCAGCAGTGATTGCCCAATTTCCACTTTCCAATGTTTTACCTTCCTGACTCTGCCCTGATTAGATTTTCTGCTATGAGCTGAATAGAAAATCATCTGCAGGCCTTTTCATGGTTCATCCCTTATTCAGCAGTGGTGGGAACAATCATTAATATACAGGACACAAGCAGAGCTGTGATAAAAATGTGCAAATTACAATATTAAAGGCATGAGAAGAATAACCTGTTTCATTGTAATGGCTCCCGTAACTTGCCGCCACGTTGTGTTGGACTCTTTCATCTTGGATCACCTGTGAAAAGACGGCGGTACATCATTAGTCCACAGCTTTCCTGTAGTGTTTAATCGGGGAGGAGATAAAAGCTCATCAGGGAGTTTAGAGTGCAAAAATCCCAACACAAAAAGTTCTAAAAAAACACAAAAGTTTGAGAGCAGGTACTGTACCTCTTGTTGATTCTGGGTTCGGATGGCTGTGGCGGGGACCACTTCTCTGACACTGCTTCTCACTGTAACTTCTGAGGAGCTCGACACCTCCTATCAAACAGAGACAACAGGGACACGAATCACAGATGCTGCACAAACAAAAAGAAAATCACAAGGAAGTGTACTCAGAGGCAGGAAGAATGCAGTGTAGTGTTTGAAATGTGATGAAATGCCCCTTCTGATGACATTAAATTCAAATTATGTTTAAAAAATAGTTCCCTGGATGCTCTTCCGTGGGATAAAAACAGAACAAGGTTCACTCTGGATGCTCTTCCAGGTATAAGGTGCAACACTGGTACATTTACAGTAGAAAAAAAACAGGGTAGATTCCCCACTTAGCAGCTAAAACATAAAGTGCACTCTGGACACCCTTCCAGTGAATAAACATGTGCACTCTTCGGATGTTCTTCTCCTTCCAGGCAGTTAGAAAAACAAAGTGCCCTCTGGATCTCCTTCCAAGTAAAAAAAAGGGGGAAAAGGCAAACAAAGTACACTCTTAATGCCCGACCAGAGGATTTAACATAGACAAAGTAAACTCTGGATGCCCTCCTGGGACATATGATACATAAACTAAGTGTCCTTTGAACAAGAAAAACAAAGAGCCCTCTGGATGTCCTTTCATTGGATAAAAACAAAAAAATTGAACCCTGGATTCCTTTCCAGTGAAAAAATATGTATAAAGGGCCCCCTAGATGCCCGTTCAATCATTAAAGGCAAACAAAGTACACTCTTACTGCCCTACCAGCAGATTAAACAAAGACAAAGTGAACTCTGGATGCCCTCCTGGAAGATATTATACATAAACCTAGTGCCCTTTAAGCAAAAAAAAAGTGGATGTACGATAAAAATTGGCACACTGGATGCGCTTCTAATGGGGGAAAAAATCTAAAATTACACCTTGGATGCCTTTCAAGTGGATAAAATGTGAACAAAGTGCCCTCTGGATTTCCTTTCATTGGATAAAACAAAAAAAGTGAACCGTGGATCCCTTTACATAGAAAAAAACATATAAAGTGCCCTGTAGATGCCCATTCAATTGTTAAAGGCAAACAAAGTACACTATTACTGCCCTACCAGAGAATTGAACAAAAACAAAGTGAACTCTGGATGCCCTCCTGGAAGATATGATACATAAACTAAGTGCCCTTTGAGCAAAAGAAAAAAAAAAGTGGATGTAAGATAAAAATTGGCACACTGGATGCACTTCCAGTGGCGGAAAAGTCTAAAAGTATCCCTTGGATGACCTTCAAGTGGATAAAATGTAAAAAAGTGCCCTCTAGATGCTTTTCTTGTATTGATACTTTAATTATTTTTGCCCCAGCCCCTTAAACAGCCACTGCAGACAGTATTTTTTGCCTGTGTTCAGGCTGAACAGAAGAAACAGTGGCACAGTGTGTACGCTTGATATCATGAAACTCAACAGAAGTCCTTTGTGGCTGGTAACAGATGTTTTCCTATTACAGAGCTGCTTTCTTGGGAACTACGGAGTTTAATTCCACTAAAGGAGGATTTCATCGCTGAAGAGATCGAGCAACAGATTACAAAAACTGTACAAAACTGCATCAGCCGTTTCCTCCAGCGAGACTCATGCAATTTGTAGGAGATGAAAGAGAAATATAATATTTGAGCTTGTATCTTCTTCTGTTAACATGAAAGATACATGCTCTCTACTCCAGAAACCACTTATGTCAGAATAATAATATCTTTCCTGATGTATGACTGGGTTTTAAAACAGAAGTCGGATATTACACCTGCATAAAAAAACTTGAGCGAAAAGTGGTTTTCTGTTGCGGAGGAGAAGCAATAACTCGATCAAACAGACACTTCCTCCCCTCACGAAACTTGATGTAAAATTTAGCATTCAGCGAGGCCCTTGTGCGCTCGGTGAATCCACTCTGTCTCCCGCCTGAATAAGCAGATGGGAAGAAGGCATGGAGGGGCTTAAATGACCTCACTTCACTGAGACTCAGCGCGGTCCCAAGCTGCTAACATGCTCTGGCATTTTCCCTCATGCACCAGATGACAGCGGCGCAGAGGCGGGCAAAGTTTGAGGCGCATTCTTCGATTTGACCTACAAGAACTCAGTGGAGACGCAGCAAAGCAGCCAAGTTTTTAGATAATGAACTACAGTTGAATTTTAATCATTTAGACACTCAGCTGGACTAAAAGGACAAAAACATTCTGGCACTTTCATAATCTGGTACTACAGGACAGTTTTTTATCCTCTCCAGGGGCGTATCCAAGGGAATAACAAGAGGTGGCCTGGGCCCCCAAATCTAACACCACTGACTTCATCCTTACCTGTACGGATCTCTGCTCAAAGTGATACTGGGTGACGCTGGACTGGGAAGACGAAGAGGTGAACTCCTGGTTCTCAAACTGTTTCTTCACACTGGCCAGACCGCCGGGCAGCGAACACGCCTCAGACTCTTCCATCATCTATGAAATAAAGAAAACAACAACCATGAGATACAACAAATCCTACTAAAATTGTTATCTGCACCCCTGTCAAGGTGGCAAAATAATCTGATGAGTGGCAAGGATGACTAAAGCTGATGTTTATGCTTCCACTGTTATGCTAGTGCTTTTTTTTTTTTTTTAAGTATTTTTTTGGCGAGTTTTTGCCTTTTTGATTGAAAGGACAGGTTGGAAATATAGGGGGATTGATAGAGAGGGGGGAGGACATGCAGCACATGGTCGGGGCTGGACTCAAATCGTAGTCCCCAAGGTGGGGCGCGCTAACCTGCTCAACCATCTGCGCATCCCCCTGCTTTCTCATTTTATGAAGGCTGACTGTGTAACTGAGGTGTAACTCACTGTTTCCATCTGGTTCAATTTGATCATTTTCTATTTTTTTCTGATCTGGATTAATTAAAGGGACATTCCAGCGTAAAATTAATTTAGGGTCAAACACCGTAACACCGAGTTAAACACCCCCTTGAGAGATAAATGTTGCAGACCGCTTGCTTCTTTGGTTATACCAACTTTAGTAACGACCGCACGATAGCAATACACAGTGGTCTGAGGAGCCATGAACAATCTTCAACCAAAACGCCACTCTATAGACACAAATAATGCTCAGAACAGCACCTAACTTCATCAACAGGACATATAGGGTCACCACAGCCACCATCAAACATCTTTTTAACTTTGCCTGATTTATTTAGCAAAGAGACTAAACACAACTCACCTACTCTCTTCCAGCAGCCGTTTGTTTGTATGGAAACCTCAGGCCAGTCCATTACAGACTACAGCGGGGTGCCACAGCTCAAGGAAGAACATTTATGATCATTTCTTTATCGTTTCCTTGAAGTAATAATCACCATATTAACCATTTTGCACTGCAGACACAGTAGTTCTTCTGCCTTAGTGTCTCGGTCTGATTGCATTTCCTTGAAGAAATGATCATAAATGTTCTTCCTTGAGCTTTGTCACCCCGCTGTAGTCTGTAATGGACTGGCCTGAGGTCTTACTACAAATAAGCGGCTGCTGGAAGAGAGTAGGTGAGTTGTGTTTAGTCTCTTTGCTAAATAAATCAGGCAAAGTTATAAAGATGTTTGGTGGCTAGTACTATGACTGTGACCCTATATGTCCTGTTGATGAAGTTAGGTGCTGTTCTGAGCATTATTTGTGGCTATAGAGTGGCGTTTTGGTCGAGGTTTGTGCGTGGAGACGTAGACCGTTGTGTAGTGCTGCCGCGCAGTCATTGATAAAGTTGGTATAACTAGAGAAGCAAGCAGTCGGTCTTGAAGGGGTGTCTAACTTGGTGTTATGGTGTGTTTGACTCTAAATGAATTTTACGCTGGAATATCCCTTTAAGAATTTAGGATAATGTATAGTGAGCAGTTCGTTATAACAAGGACACCCTAAGGTTGAGCCAGAGCCCTTGAATTACAGAGCGAACGCTGTCTTTCAAACGTGTTATAATTCTTATCATATTTGTACATCGACGATTGATCTAAGATTGTTCCTGTTCATCCCAGGTGGAGATTTATATTTTCTGTTTCAGCTGAAGGACAAGATGCAACTTCTCCATTTGTGAAAGAAAATAAGAACTAAATTAAAGCAACCCAGTCCATCTTTTGGGAGTTTATATCTGAGAGAAATTTCACAACTAGTGAAGATGGCAGGCACCCAATTTGAATTGATTCGCTTTTTCCGCATCTATTCTGCGGCGGAGGAGGGAGAGAGACATCAATAGACATTTTAGGCTTTCAGATTAGCTCGTTTAATGGAACAAAAAAGCTTTTTCAATACTTTTTTTTTTCATTGAGCCATGGAAGGAATTACTCCTTAAAACTGAAAAATATTAAAGCCGTGTTTCTTTGTATAAAGGGAGGAGGAGAGAAGGAGGGAGGAGGAGGAGGCATTTTTAAATCTCATTAGTATGGAGAAAGCAGTATTCGCTGTATGAATTGTGGGCAGGAAACAGGCTGACTATTTGATAAAGTAAATTCCTTTTGGGATTGTCAATTACTTTCCCCATAAAACATTTATAGGGAGGCTTCTGCATATATATCTTCTTTGAAACTGCAATTTTACTTTCAAGCTGGCTGCAATGAGCATGTGTGATGATGTGTGTGTGTGAGAGAGAGTGTACGTCGAACACACGCGTCACCTTTTTACTTTCCCATGCAAATGAGGGTGACATTGCAATTTGCAAGATATTGCAGGAGAAGGCGGGGTGGTGACATTTTATGGCACGACACAGAGATATCAATATTTTAACCACCTCGGGGTACAACAGCTCCACTGAAATGACACGGAAACTGTTTTTCCTTTACGTTCACGATGACACGGTTCATTTCAACACTAATTCAGCGAGGTTTAAACATCGAATCTGTCTTTTTTTCGTACTATCTGACATTGTTTTCGGTTGTGCTTGTTAAACATGATCATTTCATGCAGGAATGATTGATTATTTAATCACACTTTTAAGAGAGTTTGTGAAACGCCTCTTAGCGCAGAAACAATTAGGGACTATTCAAATTGACGGACATGTTCATTTATGCACGAGACATCTAGCACTGTAACTTCATAAACTTTTTAAAAGTCAGAACAGCATCAAGGGGATCTAATGATAACTAAAATTTAATCTATATCTAAAATAAAAGTCAGCTGTTATTTTCTAATTTTTGTTCTTGGGTCACATGACTAAGAAGATAGTGGTGATGGTGCCCTTGTCTTCTGGCATCCCTGAATCGAATCCATACCAAAAGTAGTATCATAATGTATTGTGACAAGAGGGTTAAATACTTGCATCTCCAAACACTATGCATCAATAAAAAGCTGAATGTCTCTTTATCAGGATAAAAATGTGCCAGTCTCAATGTGCCAAGCTTGCTTAAAGGCCAACACACAACACACTCGGGTTTGACTGCCACCATTTTCCTGTTTGTACTTTTACTTCCCACTAATAAAAACTTCAACAAGTATTTATCTTGCGCTGGGAGGTGAGCCACAATACCTCCCAGCCCTGATTTTTGGGAAGCTCCATAATATGTGAAAATATCCAAAACATCCTGCCAGTTCATCTCCACATTTTGAACACGGACCTCTTCCAACCTCAGCTGTTTGTACACATTTGATTTTCAAGGCTGTTAAAAAAATCTAATTAGATGATCCCTCCAAAGACCTGAGCTGGGGAAGGTGTACAGAACACATATTTAGTCAATCCTCCTCCGAGATAACCAGATCGGATTTGTTCTATCACGTTAATCCAACCTTGTTTGTCGAGTGTGTCTTGATGGAGTTGAATCTCAAATATAGAAGTGACACAAGCTTGAAATACACTCTTCTGATGCTCTTTTTTTATAACTGTGAATCAACAGCTATGAGTCAGTGAGCTAAGATTGGTATCAGTGATCAGGATATCATAACAATCGAGCTTCGTCTACCTTTAAACTCAATAAGGAGCTTATTGACTGAGCCATGTTCGTCACACTTGAATTAAAGCTGCAATATGCGACATTATTCCTTGCTCTATCGAACGGAAATGTGTCTTTGAATAAATATATGTCTGTTTGAGTTTATTTTGAAAGGAGCTGCTGTACTTAAAATATTATATTTTGTCATAAATATATCCGCAGACAGAGTTTCTGGCTGACACACTGGACTGATGGCCGTCTGCTATCTTTAACACCTCGTCACTTGTGTGTGAACATGCAGACAACAGCTGCAAAGGTATTGAGGAAGAACAAGATTCCCGCACCAGTTCTTTCTGGTAACTCACCTCCCCCGTTTTGTAACCCCCCACCCACCCACCCACACACATATATCTACAGTCAGCTGTCAGAAGCCGCCACACAGGGCTTTAGACCTCTGAAAATAAGCTGAACTGAAGCGTTAGAGGATTGTTGAGCGCTTCCTATTAAAGCTAACACTTATGCTAATGTACTGCTATTATTATGCTATTGATTTAAGGCTATGAAAGATTTATTTAATTCGTGCTCCACTTACTGTAATGTTGAGTGTTACAGCTATTTATAAAAAAGCAACAAGCCACTTGAGGCGGCGCTTTACCGTGCGGTTAGTGCCGTAGGAAAAGCACTCAGTTTTGTGTTAACATCACCTCTCATTTGAACTCAGACGGCTTGAAAGCTCGGCCTCGAGTGGCTTGTCAGCATGCAGACCCGAGACCAGCTTAAAGTTCACGCAAACATTAAGAATTTAGAGTTTGTAACTAGTTTGATATGTAATAGTGGTGGCTTGATTTGCAATGACATGATTAAAATGGATTATTGTGTTTGGATGTGTTTTCACAGGGGCGGATTCAGAAGTTCGTCAGGGGTGGCCTTGCCCCACTTCTAATTGGCCACCCCTGAGCCTCCTTTTGATACAGGACATTGGATCAGCCAAGAGGTTTGGAATAAAATCACATACTAGAAAGAAACGCATCCTGCTACATAGTGTTGTGTCGTTCACGAACGATTCCTTCAACAGAACCAAATCACTTCCTCAAGTGATTTATTCGTTTGTTTCTCACTTTAGTTGAGCTGCCAGCAGCGCAGCCTCTATAGCACGCAGCACTGCCGGGTGAGCGAGGAACCGCACACTCCGACGCCTGATTCACTTGGTGAACGAATCACACAGAGAACTACATTCTCTGGATCCATTTTTGACTGAAGGATATCACTTTCATGGTGACTGTTGTTTCCTGTTGTTTGAATAGCAGTAATGAGAAGAGAGTGAGACTCACCAGCTGTAGCAAGCTCTTAACAGGAGCGACGGAGGGAGACAGGGATGTGTTGTGTTCAAGTGTAACTCAGACTGATTGTACTGTGGGGTAAACGTTCAGTGAGTGATTCGTTCAACGTTTAGAAGAATTCACACTGAACATGAACTGTTCCCTCGCAAACCGCTGCAATGATAGGATGCTGCGGGTTTAATGCACTACTTGTTACATGCTGTGTCCTATTGTATGCAGGTTGTTGTGATTGAGCAGTGAAAAAAAAAGATACTTTTGTCCGACAAAAATGATTCCAGAGAGTGTAGTTCAATGCGTGATTTGTTCACCAAGTGATTCAGGCATCGGTGCATGTGGTCCCTCGTTCACTGGCTGCTGGCCTGGCAATGCTGTTTCTCACTTAAGCACAACTGAAGTGAGAAACAAACAAATCACTCGAGGAAGTGATTCGGTTCAGTGCGTTCACTTAAAAGATTTGGTTCTTTTGAACGAATCCTTTAAGAACGACATAACACTACTGTGTATCAGTTCAGGAAATCAGAGTCAAAGGTTTCTCGAGTGATTCGGTGATTGAATTTTTTGAACGAATCTTTTCAGTGACCTGATTCGAGTGATTCAATCCATCTCAAAGAGCTGCAGTGTCCATAACTACTGCTACAAATAGATTCTGACTGAAACATCACACATGAAACAGTGTTTTTTTTTTCAGCCGAGTCTGTACAGGCCTGCCTCTGCCTACAGCCTCTGACGTCATTAATATCAGTGATGGTTTGAAAGCCTTAAACTGGCTGTTATATCATATAATATTAAGCGATGTTGCTGCACGCCTCTTTAAAGTCTACTATCTCAGTGAAACAGATACTCAGTGTTTATAAGTGATATTCCCATTGCATTATAAACTGTATTTGTAGACTAGAGTTAAGAAGAAAAGCAGACACATTTTCCACTTCTGCAGGGCTGTATTTTAGATACTGAGCTGCCTCTCTGTTATGGCCTTGGATGACTTGCTGCGCACACAGCTGAATTATTGGGTTTATAAAGTGCAAGCAGGCTCTTCAAAGCCGCCGCAGCTTTTTGGTCCTTGGTAATGACTAATGACTTGAGGATATTCAGAAATGTTTTTTGTGTTTAATCAAAGGAGTTATAATGTGTGAGAGCCCACTGATGTGCTGCCTGTGTGGGTTCATCTCAATGTTTTTTTTTTCCTCCTCTGCAGAGGCAGTTAAAATTTCTCTGACAGGGTTATTGGTGCTTTTTTATTTTTTATTTTTTTTTGCGCTGCACTTTGTTACTAAATGTGAGTTTGTGTGTGTCCATGCATGCGTGTGTGTGTAGCCCTCCCAGCCTTTGGTTGCCAGTGGAGACGGATGCCTGTTTGAACTGAACAATGTCAACGATTTTATGCAATTACTCCGACTCTGAGTCAGAAAATTCTGATGTGATTATGATTAGCTCTCTAAAACCCATTTCAGAAAAGTAATCAAAGGACAAAGTTCAGAAAATTAACTTTCGCATCCTACATGAGAAAATTACACAAATCAAGACAACGCTGAGTGGATTAATAATGTCCTATTTATTAAATAATGATGGGTCCCAAACATAAAACTCAAACCGCATACTCAGCTTTCTACTTACATCTTCAGACGATCTGATGATTCAACACCAAATCAGCTGGTAGTCTACGGTACTAAGAAACTTTTGACGTCTCCCTGTGGACAAATTGTTAACCCTCTTGTCTGACACCGACCGTTGGCAGCAGGTACACGTGCTAAAATAATGATCAAGATATAAGAATTGACGCCAAAGAGCTTTAAGAACCTTTTTGAGTCACCAGCATTAAAAACATCAAAAAAGTCCCAACATTATCCTCAGCATCAGTCAGTTATTTTACATGAACGTGTCCTCCTCCCCAAAACTAGGGGGCGACATGGGTCTTTTCACAGTTTCCGAACCTTTTTAAAAGATGTCTCCGTTCCTCTTTTTTTTGACCGTCCACATACTTTAAAATGTTCATTTCTGTCAGGACGGAAAGCATAACGGCACTCTCCCGACATCGTTCCAAAAGTTGACATTCTTTCGTGCTTCAGCCATGATGCAGTTGCTTCTGAGTCAAAAGTTCTTTAAATGATAGTGCCACTCCTTCTCTGGTGGCGCACATGCACATGCATTGTCCAGTTATACTCTGACTACCCTGGTTACATGGTAGAGAAAATCGAGTTCCAATGGCATTATCTGGGTGTCTTAATTGGAGTTCTCAAACTCTGATTATCGTCGGACTAAGGTGTTTACATGCACTTTAGTTGTCCAGTCTTAATCGGAAAGGCAGTAATTTGGTTTTCTCGAGTTTCATGTAAATGTACTGACTGTGACAAAGGAAAAAGCCAATTTGAGTTGAGGATTTTGGGGTGGCCAGCCGGATTCAAGAGGGCCAGGCCACCCCTGACTGACTGCTGGATCCGCCCCTGTAGACCAGCTGCTTCAGCTACTAATTGGGACAGCTTGTAAATGTTGTGTCTTTTGGGTTATTTGTGTGATATTTTATTCAATCTGGATGGAAAAATGCCTGAAATTTTCCTGAAATTTTACCTGAAGTTTCTTTAGAAATTTCCAGGTGTGCATTTAAGTGTGAAAAAGTCTCATATGTAGACAGCGAACCCGGTCTTTCTGCATTATCAAACATCATTTTCTGTCTAATCAAACCTAAATAAAATAACCAGATTAATTATTTTTAACATCAATCATCAAACTTTGCACGGACAGTTCTTGTGTCAAACTCTTGAAGGAATTAAACGCCCCAAGAATTGAAATCTTCTCGTGTTTATGTTCAGTTTTAAAATAGCAACCTAAAATGACATGTCCTCCTGATTCCTCTGGACTCCCATTTACTCCTCAGAGTTTTCTGTCCAGCACTGAGCAGTATGACACTTTGACAAATAAGCCTACTATCCCAGCAGAACCCTGTGGCACCCATCCATGAGGTCCCTGCTCAACAAAAGAGTCTACAAGCAGGACAGTGTTCAGTGACAGCAGATTTATACTTTAGGAGAATAAAAGTGGGGGAAATTTGCTCTTAAATCCTGAAAGCATCACCGTGTTAGCAGCTTTTTCTCACGATTTCTGAGACTGTCTGCCGTCTCTCTAACTACCCTCAAACTCCATCCTCCCTGCCGTCTCTTCTTACAGCCGTGTGGAAGTATCGCCTTACCGCAGCAGCTGAGGAGCTGCCGGTTTCCTTCTTGGACACGGCCGCCTGGTACATCGCCAGCCGCTCTTTCACCGACACCGGCTCGGCCTCCGGGTCCTCAGGACGTCCTGACCTGGATGCGCCTGCGCTGCCTGCAGCTGAATGAAGACAAACAAAAATGAATTAACCTTAATGATGCGAGCGCCCTTCAATGATGCACGCAAACCAAACTCAACTTTATGTAACAGTTAGACTGACCTAAGACTTGAAAAATAAAGAAATAAACACAAGAATAGCCAGGTAGTGTCTTTAATCGAAGCTTTTCTTCTTTTCCAGCATAAATTTCCACCTCAGATTGTTAAATTCATCCACATAATTCCACATTCATAGAACATTTTTATACAGAAGTGGCCCGAGGCGAACAATCCGTACCAAACGTTGACATGAAACTGCAGCTGAATACTCATCAATCAAGAGGAACTACTTTATGATACCTCACATTGCCGGGCGCATCCCTGCGGATAGCCAATTAAGAGACGAGCACTGATTTCGTGTTTGACTTTCCTGCGCTACAAAGCATCATTAGGCAACAGAGGAGGCTCCATTAGAGCTCGGCTCACTCCCACACTGGACCTTTTAGCTCTTGGCATGTTCTCTATCTCTCCAGGCAACAACACCGTGGGATGAAAGAAGACCCTAAATAGAAATTATTCCCTCTCATTATGTGCTCGCGCTGCAACCTTTTGACTTATTTTGAAAATAAACCTCCTCCTTGTGTTTACGCTCACGTATTTTTCCGAACATGTATGTTTCTGTGGCGTAACTTTGGGCTCGGAGAAAAAGGTCAGAGTGAGTTTATTTTACGTTTCAAGTCGTACAGCAGCTGCGCACAGATCCAGTGAAGGTCTCCGGAGATTAGAGGCAGATTCACGGCTTAGATGTGCAGAACATACCGTTCATATTTGTATCTATACTTTACATATGACAACACAGGCTCCTTATACACATACATATGTAGCAGTCAAACCCAATTTATCTTGATCGGTTCTCGTCCAAAAGCGTCAACACACCTGTAGTAAAAGCGTAAAAATTCAACGCATGCTTTACATTTGTTTATGATGTGAGTGGACGCCATGAGACAAGAGTACACCCTGCTCATCCCACCATTTTTAGCTTTCTGCTACATCTGGCATGCTCGTGTAACCAATAACCCGTCATGAGGAGAAATAGACCGCCTGACGTCTGAAAATAAACAGGGGTTTTTTGAACGTGCTATAAATATGGGTCAGAAATCCTACACCTGAGGCTGCGGCGTAACTTAATACCGAACCGATGACAGAAACACAAGGATAATGCCCTCATTTATCAACGGAGATAAATGTTGAAGTCATAGTCTGGAGCTGTCAGGGTGGAGGGGGGTTATGATGCCCCAGAGCGGTGACAACAGCTCCGTGGATATCTCTGGCTTCCCAGAACGGCATGCTGTATGCAAAGCTGCCATAACATGAGGGTGAGGTAACCACAGCGCCGAGGGACGAGGAGGAGGAGGGGTTAAAAAAAAGTCAACCCGACCTTTTTATAAACCGTCTCTCTCTGTCTGCAGCGTCATGTTCCCTTAGTGACAGGAAGATTTATGGAGTGGAAGTGGAAGGAGAGAAAGAAAAAGGAAAACAAAGAAGAGGCGAAATTGAAAGACTTCTAATGAGATTGTATTTTCAAAAGATTTCTGAAGCTGTTTCACCACCTCCCTGCGCTGTTGCTAATTAAAAGTGGCACCAAAGGGCGTTTCATTTGCATAAATAATGGCGTTCACGCACCGTCTCCTTGCTTAAAATGCCCAAACATAATGAGGCCCAGGACTTTTAGTAGATCGCAGAGAACTTTCTACAGTAGAAGAGTCGTATTTACCCTAACTCGGAGTATATTTCTCCTCCTCTGAGAGTATTAGCTTCTTATCTCTTCAACGCCACAGTGGCTGCTGAAGTGATGGCGCCAAACAGGGGGGGTAATGGAAGTCTGAGTGAACAGGGAAGGCCAGCGTGGACGGCTCAAGCAGAGCCAAAGGAGCGCCGACCCCGCTGTCGCTAGCTTCTGTGAGGGGAGCGCGCCGCGGGCTAGCGAGGAGGTGAAGGGCGGCGAGGGGTGTTAGGGCAAGAGTCGACTGGAGAGAGTTTGTTCTTGAAAGAGGGAGAAAGAGTAATTTCAGAAGCTGGGGAAAGTGGCGTGGCGTGGCGTCGTAGCTCAAAGCTAAACCCGACCCCCATAGATCTGTGTCAAGGCAAGGCCGTCCGCTAATCACAGAGGTGTCACACCCCCACCCCTCCTTTCCTTTACGACAGAAGCCTTAAGCAACCCAATTTTCTGTTCATTACTTACTGGCCAAAGCTTTCGGCTCACGAGGAAGGGCTTTGACAGGAGCGCCAAATCGAGCTCCACTAATTGAAATGTCAGCCGTGGAGGGCGATTTCTCCCTCTACCCACAAAAAAGCAAAACAGGCACAATAATTGAGCTGTCAAATCTATCAACGTAACTTCTTTACATGGAGACGGGAGCGCCCTCGGGTGCTTCCTCATGCTAGGCTAAGCACTTTGTCTCCAATTTGCTTCGCTTTCAGTAGATTCAGATCGCTCCGACTGCTGCTGCTGCTGGTGGAAGGAAGCAAAAACGGGCCCCCATGCATGTTTTATGACGATGCACAAATCCAGGTGGAGTACACTCTAATATCTCATCCTTTATGAAGCGAAGGCCTCACAGTGTGGCTTCACTTTATCCTAATTCCAATTTTATACCGAGGATGCCTCAGCCTGGGCACATCAAACTGATTCATTATCAGCTGAAATGTCATCCACCGTCTCCAATCTGTCTCCTTCCACTTGTGCTTCAGTGGAAAATCACTTTAACAGAGCCGCGCTGACAGCGAGGCTCATTTTAACACACGAGATAGTCTTTCTTCATCTCTTACCTTCTGAGGCTGTGTAGGTCGCTCTGAACTGCAATACAATCCAACAGAATAAGAAGAAGAAAAAAAAGAGTTTTAGATCTTGGGGAAATTACAAAAGCTTACTCGTTCTGATTTTACCCGACACGGAGAAGGAAGAAAATCCCGACAGTGAGGCTTGGAGACCAGCTCCAGCAGTGTGTTCCCTCAGCGCAGTGAGGCCCAGGCATCCAGTGACAGCTGATTTTATTTTAGAAGCACCCCTTCGTAAAAAATAGGAGTGACTCCGACCGGGGAGGAGGAGGGGGGGTGTGTGGATGTGGGTTTTCAGGATCAAGTATCGAGGTACCCAACATGCCCTTAACCTTATGTCACAACAGGCTTATGGACTCACACGTCCCACACTGGGAGATGAGGCGCAGATACTTAATACATCCCTCATTTGAGCAGCGAGAGGCATGATTCAGCATGCGGACTGGAGGTAAAGTTCATAGACGCTCATAAACACTCGACAAACAAGGAAGTATGTCGCTTAAAGGTGGAGTAGGCAGGATTCTGTTGAGGAAGCATCTATTTTTGTGGTGTTTATACGAAAATTTTTTTAATATCAGTCAATAGCTATTAGTTATTGATGACATTTGGGAATATAATGTTATTGTTATTGTTGTTCTCTTATGTCTGTGAAGTCAACATTTTAACATTTTTTAACGGTCCGCTCTTTCTGACTGTAAACAAAACCGTTCTCTACCTCCTCTAACCTGATTGGTTGTGAGGCAGACGCTGCTCCCTCGTGTTGTGAGGCATATTCCACGAATAACGTTTACGAGCCCAAACAAAGTTAGCGTGCCACAATATCGGACAGTAGAAACCAACCAGAAAGTACAGAAAATTGTCTGAATCCTCCTTTGGCCACGACCGCCGACACAAACAAGAAAACGAAGAAAATACCGGAGACTCTGGAGGAATAACGGGCAAAACCTACAAGATCCGGAATGGCTCCACTTCGCTCCAATCTGTAAGCATTATAATCAATGTGAGTCATTCCACAGAATCCGTCCGCCATCTGGAACAGATATGCAAGGCTTCTATTTTTGCAAGGTGCCAGAGCCCGGCGAATCAATTCAGTGCAGCACGAGCGGCAGCAGAATTTGTTTGCGGTTACAGAGTCAAATATCCAGCTAATTTTCAAAATAAAAGAAAATCAGAACATAGAATGAAATCCGCCAATCGGTGTATATAAATACCCACATCCAACAACCCTGGCCTCTCCTATTATCAAGTTAAAAACAGTTCAATGACTCCCGGGGAAACACGCGACAGCTCCTGAGATCTCATCCAGTCTCACAAGAAACATCGGTAATCTCACGAGCACTTCTCCTCCGATGGGGGTGGTGGATCCGGATCTGGTGGGTGCTGTGTGCTGTGTGCTGTACGCTGGTCTGGAGCGGAGCGGAGCCATTTCGGATCCTGTGGGATTCCCGCTTAAAACAGAGGTAAACCGGACAAGAGCCAAAAAGCCAATTCAACATCAATGAAGCATAAACGATGGGGACGCTTCGGGATCTTACGGACCCTGTAACCTTTAAACCGCTTTAACAAAGTAAGTCAAGTGTCTGTAACAGAAGTGTTTCTTGTCAAACGGACCTGCTGTAGCGTGTTGTAGCGCCGCTAAACTGTTTATCGAGGGTCCTGGACTATGTCACTTTATCCTAGTTGTAGAAGTCTCTGTTAGTCTGTTGGCATCTACAGTAGCACCAATGCTTTTTACTTTCACCTTGACTGGGCCCCATTTGTAATTATCTGAAGTATTTATCTGCATTATATCTGAAGTTAATTGGAACGATATGAGCGAGCAGGAGCGTCTGTTTGTGGGCGGGGCTTGCTGTAGCAGAGAGGAGGAGCTGAGGGGAAAACTGGTTGGGAGGGATAGAGTTTACACTCTATCTGGCACTTCCTCAGATCCTGACGACCCCACCTTTTATCTAACTATAAAGTAAAAAAGACGCTATCCCCCCGAAGAAATAGTCGAAACCACAACTTTTCCCAACTTTTGATCGGACTCGTCTATAATCTGCTTCAAGCTCTGACATAAATCTGGTATCGATCTTCTCATGTTATACCCAGAAGGAAAACTAACTAGCATATATCCCAAAATGTCAAACCATTAGTTAATAATAGATGGCTTTGGGTGAGATTGACTCACCAAGGTCACTTCAATAACATGCCTTTTCTATATACATCATACCCATGCTTCTGTGTGTGTGTACTATTGATTATTGATTCATGCTACAACCATTTTTGGATCACTGCGTTCCCTCTAGTTCAGAATATTTAAAGCTTAAATTCTGGGTTTCGATGAGAAGCCGAGTCTACCTTTTCTGGGTGAAACCTTTGCCCCTATTAAAAACCCATCCTGCTCCATAATTCCTCACTTCCTTCCTTCTTCTGAGATGCCTTTGAACCTTGAGGACAGCTCCTCAGTGCAACCGGCGCTAAGTGAGAGAAATTCAATGCTGTGCCTGCTGCGAAGGAGCCCAGGAGAATTGAGCTGGAAACCTTTAACGATCCAGACACAATCAAGCGGGACATCATGGGAAAATAGAAAACCATATCGTTATCCAACCTTTCTCTTTACTTCCTTCCTGACCTTCTTTTTACCTCCTTTTCCTTCTTTCCTCTCGTGCATACGTCGCCCTGCAGCAGAGGCAGAGGTCCTCTTTGAAACCAGTGACCTTATGTTTGTGTTTGATCAGCCCCGAGGCTTTTCGTTCACTCTCTTTTTTTTTTCATTTCCACCAACATCCTCTCTGACAATGCAAGAGTGAATCACAGAGCCTTGTCTAACCCTGCAGGAAATCATCGATTCCCCATTCTCTACATATTATTTGCTGTGATCATGACTGTTTACCAACCTCACACGTTGAACACAAGGTGTTCTCAGGGAGCCCACCCCGTGAGGCGCCATTGGCAGCGCATTGACTGGAGAGGAGCGTGGTTATCAGGCTTGTGGAGGGGCTGCACTCTGCTGATAATCCCGCTGAAATTGCACATGGATTTCCTGTTCCTAAAGTAGAAAATAAACATACTCTGGTAGAATACCTAATGGAGGGGCCTGAGAGCATCCCTGTCAAGTCCAGAGAGAGTCTGATAATAAACTCTGACTTTGATTTATCATCATTTCATTCAAGCAAAATTCCAGTTATGATATTTTTTATCTTCTTTGAACCGTGTATCTGGGTTGCACAGCGCTGATTAATCAATGCTAATGACTCCCGCTTGTTTTTGTGTGTGAGAAAACAAAAACAAGACTTTCCCAATCCCCAACATCTCAAACAACTTCATTTAAAAACGTGACTGTGGCAAATGATGTCTTACTTTGAAGGATGTTTTATTTCTCTGTAATAATGACTCCATGCTATTAATTGAGATGACTTAAAGCTCCTGTGAGGATTTTTTTTAGTTGGTTTTGGCGCCCCCCTGTGGACCAAGAGTATTTTGTCCTGCACACATATAATAAGTGTTCACAGACAAAAATTTTATCCTGCACTTTTGCTCTGGAACAAGTGGCATTTTTCTCCGACACCTACCCACTGCTGAATGTTTCAGATGTTTTTATTACTTTAAAAAAATCGTCACTTTTCTTCATATTATTAATGTTTTTTTTTCTTTTTGAAGTCATGAAGAAGCACCAAAATTAATTCAGTTTGAATTAATACCAGCCAAAAACTCCTCGCAGGAGCTTTAAAGCTTGTCAGAAAATGCATTTCTGGTGCCCCCTGTGGACAGAGCAGTCTTTGCTTATCTTGTTTTTTTTGACTAATAATCTCATCCTGCAGAGTTTTGACAGTTAAATGTATCATTAATGTGACTATTCAATGTGGCAAATGGAAAACAGAGTTGTTTCCTTCGCTGCAGTGCTGACACCTACCCCCTTGAATCATTTTTAAGCATTAAAATTACAGTACAAAAATAGTCAATCTTATCCCTGATGGTCTTATAATAAAAGGCATCAATATAAATTTCACTCTATCTGATAAATGTCCAACAAAATAGATCCTTACAGGAGCTTTAATCTTGGCACCTCTGTTACTTTAACTGCTGGGCTGACACCTAACCCCTCGAACTATATTTAAGCAATAAATATTACAATTATAAAAACAGTCAATCTTCTCCCTGATGGTCTTATAATATAAGGCATCAAAATAAATTTTAGTCCATTTGATAAATGTAAAAAAAATAATCCTCACAGGAGCTTTAATCTTGGCACCCCTCTTACTTAAGCTGCTGAGCTGACACCTATCCACTCGTACCATCTTTAAGCATTAAATATTACAGTCTAAAAACAGTCAATCTTATCCCTGATTGTCTGATAACAAAAGGCATCAATATAAATTTAATTCTATCTGATAAATGTCCAACAAAAAAATTCCTTACAGGAGCTTTAATCTTGGCACCCCTATCAATTTAACTGCTCAGCTGACACCTACCCCCTCGCACTGATTAAAAACTACAATATAAAATTGTCACTCTTGTCATTTATGGTCTTTTTTTGCTTTTGTATATAGTAAAAATGCATCAATATGAATTTTAGTGCATATCCTAAATGTCAAAAAACTCCTTACAGGAGCTTTAAAGGCACACAGGAAAACAATAATAGTGCCACTGACGCAGCTGAAAAATAAAAACAAATCAGTTCAACGATATTAAAAATGTCAAGGAACAATCTGGGAACTTCTGCGTTTCCTTATAACCAGCAGATGCGAGGAATCCTCTGTTCGCCCAGTGTTGTATGGAAATTGTATTGATTTCCCCTGAGCAGCTGCACAACAATACACAAAACAGTCACACATCAATTTTCAATTTTAAAGCATCAATCGCGTCTTAAAAGCTCAATTGTGCCCCACAAAAGCTGTAGAAGAATCATCTATGTGACTGACGGGAGGAAAAAGATTGTTTTTTCCGTCAGAATAATATTATTAAGACATCAACATTTGGCATGCTAATCTAGGAGGAGATTAATTAGAACAAAAGCAGTCTTTTGGCAACGGCAGTTCCAATTGGCAGCGTTCGCACACTTTGAGAAATTCTCGTGGGCCAAGTGTGTCTGACGAGTTTAATCAGGCCCAGACAGATCCGAATATGAACACACACCTTTGAATGATAAAACAAAAGAACATGACTACCATTGTTTGTGCTACAAACCAGAAAGTGTTGCAGGGCCAGCGATGGAGAGAAGTCAACAAGGATGCCTGCATTCAAAGAGCATGAGCGCGGAGATTTAGAGGTGAGCTTTGCATCTACTTAAAGTGCAGCCGCCCTGTCAGGGTGCTTCATTTAAACATGTGGCTTTGCAGGGAACAGCTCCTGTAGCCCCCCCCCCCCCCTGTCAGTCATCTGACCTGGCAGAGAATGCAGCGCTGGTGTGACAGCTTGTCAGCAAAGACAAAAGCCGTCGCTCAGACAGGACAACAGGAATGCAGGATTGTCAAGAAGCTCCAGGTTTAGAGCCGGCGTGGAGATTTAGAGACGAGCGGGGTGACACGAAAGCCTGACTGATCTCAGGTAGAGATGGAGGGGCTCTCCGTCTATGTGGGAGTATGTCGACTGAGAAGATGCATGGCTGGGTTCATGTGAATTTTTAACACCTTGATACCACCTTCAGGTCTGTCAGCACTTCCATCACTTCGGACCATCACTCTCTCCAGTCGACACCTCTTTCTTTTTGTGAGTTTGGAGGTCAAACGTCCACACAGAGTTACTTGTTTAAAAACAAAAAGATCCAAAAACAGCGGTGACGACACAAGAAATGTTTGTATCTGCAGCAGTTCCCATCAGGTTTGTGTTAGGACAAAGTCTACCCAGTTATCTATCTAGATTTGAAAAATAGGAGTTCCACAGGGTTCACTTCTGGGTCCTCTGCTTTTCACATAATGAGTTAGCTAATCACTGTACAGGGTTAACTGACTTAGAATTATTTATGTGTCTGCAAACAAAATAGTCTAAGTGTGTTTTTCTATTGAAATAAAAGTCAGAGATTTTAAAGTAAACTTGGATTAAATGTGGGGAAATGATAATATTTTGCTAGTGATCTTATTTGCTTTCATAGCTCATAAAAAACACTGAGGTCGATCACAAAAGCTTTAAGTTTAAGTAAAATTAATGCTTCAGTTTCCAATAATCAATCACAGCAAAGATGAGGGGGAAACATAACACTAAAAAAGTGAAGAATAAATACAATTAAAGTGTGGAAGATAGTAATAACCACCTACAGATAAGGTTAAGCAGTATGCCTCACTGTAATCCACTGTTACTCACTTCCTTAATACATGCAACTAATTGTGATAAGCCCGTTACAAAGCCTGAGGTTAATTACATAAAGTTTCAATTACAGCACTTGTTTCCCTTCCACAATAGTTAAACGCCAGTCACCATCAATACGCTATAGTACCCTGGAGGACAACACTCCTGTTAGTTAACACTTGATCCCTGAAGGGAAAGTGCTGTACTTTGCACTGTAAGCTCCATCTGTGTGTACACTGCTATCAGCATCAGTTGAAACAAACTGGGGGGAAGCCACTGCTATCACAGAAATGGAAGTTTGGTATCTCTGGAGCCCCGCAGCTTCCCATTAAAAAAGCTGCCAGGAAAGCCGCCTTATCTGGCAATGAACAATCTCGTTTTCAAAAACCTGCTCGCTGCCAAATGTTTATCTTTTAAAACAAATGTAACACCGCGTTGTATTAACCAACCTGCAGCCTGGGATGTTTGTCTGTTTGTTTGACAGAGCGGTGTAACAGTGATGCAATCAGGGAGCAAAAGCCTGCTGTCATAGTTTATAAAAGATCTGAGGCTGCGGCAACAAAGAAACTTTTCTTGAACATACAGAAATAGGACAGTACTCACGAGGAGAGGTTTCTGCAGGTGAGGCCATGGTCTGATGTGTTGGAGGGAGGGTTGCTCTTTTGGGTAGGGAGGGTTGGACTGCTGTTGCTTCCTGGTTGAGAGAAAGAGAGGGAGTTATCAGAGAGAACACCTGTGCTTATTTAACAGGAAGATACAGGAGTGAGGCAGGCTGATACACACTCTGACAGTGGTGTACTCAGAGGGGGGACAGCAGGGGCCCTGATGCCCCTATGTATAAATAAAATCCACATAAGGGCTAATTTGAAGTAAATTAAACATTATAAATTGTTCTTGCTGTGAATATCCCATGATAAAGTGCCCTCTTGACACTTTTCTCTGGTGGTGAGCATGTAAACCACTCTGGGTGCCCTTCCACCTGATTAAAAGTAAATGAAGTGTCTTCTCTGGTTCCCTTTCAGTGGATAAAATGTGCACTCAAGTGCCGTGCTGGTTGATTAAATGTAAACAAAGTGTCTTTGCAGTGATTATCCATTGAAAAGTGTCTCCTTGATGACCTTTCTGATAGAAAAATGTAAACAAAGTGCCCTCTGGATGCCCTCCAGTAAATTAAATGTAAACAAGTATACCTCTGTGAAGCCTTTGCAGTGAAAATCCTATGATGAGTGTCCTGATAAAACATAAATAAAGCATCTTTTAAGGGCCTTTCCAGTAGATTAAATGTTAACGAAGAACCTACTAGAAGGGAAGTAGGAACAATGTAGATTAAGTGGCCTTTCTGGTGGGTCTAGTGAGCCAATAACCCTCTCTGGTTCCTTTTCAGTGGAACAAGTGCCCCTTTGGATGCCCTTACTATAAATACAACATAAACATAGTGAATCAAATGTAAAAGGAAGTGCCCTCAAAAGGCCAATTTAGAGGAAGTGATGTAAACAAAGCACCCCCTCTGCTGCCCTTGAAGTAGATAAAATGTTCACAAATTGCTCTTTTGAGTGCTCTTCGGTTGGTTAAATGTAAACAAAGTTGCTCCGCAGCAAATATCCGATGAAGAGTGTCTACTTGATGACCTTTCTGATAGATAATTGTAAACAAAGTGCACGCTGGATGTCCTCCAGTGAATTAAATGTAAACAAAGATGCCTCTGTGAAGTCTTTGCAGAGGAAAATCCTGCGACAAATGCCTTCTATGGTCGTTTTTACCGATAAAACATACATAAAGCACCTTTTAAATGCCTTTCCAGCAGATTAAATGTTAAAGAAGAACCTCCTAGATGAACAACGAGGAACAACGTAGATAAAGTGGCCTTTCTGGTGGGTTTAGTGACCTTTCCAGTGGAACAAGTGTCCTTTTGGATGCCTCTACTATAAATACAACATAAACAAAGTGAATCAAATGTAAATTAAGTACCCTCAAAGGCCATTTCAGAGGAATTAATGTAAACAAAGCACCCCCTCTGCTGCCCTTGAAGTAGATAAAATGTTTACAAAGTGCTCTTTTGAATGCTCTTCTGTTGGTTAAATGTAAACAAAGTGCCCTATGGATATGATTTAATGCTTTACTTGTAGTTCTATCAGGTTCTGCACTGTATGGCATGTTGTGTTCAAGGATAATGTCTTACATCTTACATTTAATGCCTTTCAGCAGCAGGAGGCCTCTCGTTTTGTTGTCCACGCTCTTTGAACAGCCTGACAATGCCTGCTCACCCTGACATGGACACACACACACACTCAGACACACAAGAATACAGAGGATTCACTCGCTGCCACACATACCTTCAGGGTGAAAAATGATACAGAAGAGCGTCTGTTGACATTCAAGCATTAGATGCGGCTGAAACTTTGGTGCAGTCGACTCATCTGCACACATGTACGCACATGCGCACACCCATATTTGTGAGTGTAAAGAGAGGACGACCTTGAGCGCAATGTTAACAGTAGGCATTGACTGGAAAGTAAGTGCAAACAACACTTGGTTGAATTTTAATAGAGCCGCTCTGGCTGTAACTAAAGATGTTTTCACAGGCTGCTATTGATAAAAGGAACAGCATTAGTAAATGGCATGTCCTTGGTGCATACAGGCTTGTTTTTCCCCTTGAAGCATTTTGTCAAAACTTAGAAGTCAGTCTGTGCAACACGCCTATTCAGTTGCAAATCATCCCTGCGGGGGGAAAAAAACACACCTGCGAATGTGTGTGTGTGTGTGTTTTTTTTTTTTCTCCATTTGCAAATCAAATGTATTCCCAATAGCGTCTTTTTCGACAGCGTCTTGCCAGGCGTCAACACAGAGTGACAACAAACACGTAACAACTCTGCACACGGGCATTACCATGTGGAACACACACACACACACAAAAGAAGTGTGTATGTGTCGAGCCTGGTTTCCTTCCCCCTGCTGAAGGTGTCAACCGTAATTTCAGAAATGCACCAAAGAACAAAACATTGTCCTCCAGAATCCCATTTAGAGGATCCCGGAAGACACGCTTGACAATTTGCATACTTTCCCTCAGTCTTAGGCACACCGGGAACACACAAAACACAGCCAAACAAGGATACAAAATAATCTCTCTCGTCCTATCACTGTCATTCTATCTCTCTGTGTCGCTGAAGCAGCACTCACATCGAATGAAGCTCAAATCAGTGAGCTGCAAAGAGCAAATGCTCGGCCCAAAACGGCTGCTAACCACAGCTCCCAAGTGCTCTGTGTTCGACTGCTTACATTAAACGCAGTATTTTGTCTACAACGGGGCGCTGCTTCACTCAGGGGATGATTAAGTGCACGAGTGCTTCGGATGTTCCAGAGTGTGAAAAATGTGTGTGTGTTTGCGGTGGTTCATTTCAGCTGGTTAGAGAAGTAAAAGTCGCCGAATGAGAGCCATTAAAGGGATTCAAACATTTATCTCTCTTTCGTTGTCTGATGGGCTTGTTTACACTTCACTTTAAGCCATTGCTTGTGGTAAATTATGCATCCACTACATGTGGTGAGTGGGTGTGAACTCTTTTGGAAAGATTTTCACTGAATGTTAATAGATTTTTTTTTCAGCGGAATCACAGAAAAGCAGCAGATGGTACAACTTTTAGCCTTATTGAAGATTTGGCTGCTTTCATACAGACTAAAGTTCTGTATTTTCCGACTAAGTTACCTTCAACTGGATAAATACTACTCGGAAAGTGATTTACCGGCAAGAAACAAAGAAAATAAATTAGCGTAGAGGCTGAAAAATGAATGATTGCTTCATTAAATCCTCAAGGTTTTCGAGTCCTGAATCAAAACTTTGCATCCAATCTTTAACCAGTGCGACCTTCAAATATAGGCCTATTTTTGTGTGAATAATTGTAATGGTGCATCAGAAAGCAGTAACCCCTCCTACAAGCTAGATTTATAACATAAGCTGAGTGCGACATGTTCCTCTTGGCAGGTTTTACTAAAAAATCACTACTGCTGTTCTTTAACCCTAGAACACTATCGCTAAAATTAGTAACACCATCACTATCACCGGATGATTTTTACCCGAAATAATATAACCAAGGAAAGTACTTGCCATCAAAATATATCAAAATAGGACAATACATGACAAATTAAAGTAGTTTTCTTTAATGTTTAACTGTGCAATGTCCGAAGGGAGGAAAAGACGTGCTATGAGGGGACGATATAACTGAAATTAGGCATTCATGAACAAAAAATTCCTAAAATATATATATATATATATATATATATATATATATATATACACTCACCGGCCACTTTATTAGGTACACCTGTCCAACTGCTCGTTAACACTTAATTTCTAATCAGCCAATCACATGGCGGCAACTTAGTGCATTTAGGCATGTAGACATGGTCAAGACAATCTCCTGCAGTTCAAACCGAGCATCAGTATGGGGAAGAAAGGTGATTTGAGTGACTTTGAACGTGAACTCATTGTCATGTTCAAGAAACCAGTCTGAGATGATTCCAGCTTTATGACATGGCGCATTATCCTGCTGAAAGTAGCCATCAGAAGTTGGGTACATTGTGGTCATAAAGGGATGGACATGGTCAGCAACAATACTCAGGTAGGCTGTGGCGTTGCAACGATGCTCAATTGGTACCAAGGGGCCCAAAGAGTGCCAAGAAAATATTCCCCACACCATGACACCACCACCACCAGCCTGAACCGTTGATACAAGGCAGGATGGATCCATGCTTTCATGTTGTTGACGCCAAATTCTGACCCTACCATCCGAATGTCGCAGCAGAAATCGAGACTCATCAGACCAGGCAACGTTTTTCCAATCTTCTATTGTCCAATTTCGATGAGCTTGTGCAAATTGTAGCCTCAGTTTCTGTTCTTAGCTGAAAGGAGTGGCACCCGGCGTGGTCTTCTGCTGCTGTAGCCCATCTGCCTCAAAGTTCGACGTACTGTGCGTTCAGAGATGCTCTTCTGCCTACCTTGGTTGTAACGGGTGGTTATTTGAGTCACTGTTGCCTTTCTATCAGCTCGAACCAGTCTGGCCATTCTCCTCTGACCTCTGGCATCAACAAGGCATTTCCGCCCACAGAACTGCCGCTCACTGGATATTTTTTCTTTTTCGGACCATTCTCTGTAAACCCTAGAGATGGTTGTGCGTGAAAATCCCAGTAGATCAGCAGTTTCTGAAATACTCAGACCAGCCCTTCTGGCACCAACAACCATGCCACGTTCAAAGTCACTCAAATCACCTTTCTTCCCCATACTGATGCTCGGTTTGAACTGCAAGAGATTGTCTTGACCATGTCTACATGCCTAAATGCACTAAGTTGCCGCCATGTGATTGGCTGATTAGAAATTAAGTTCTGAAGGCAAAAGGGGGTCCAACCCGTTACTAGCATGGTGTACCTAATAAAGTGGCCGGTGAGTGTATATATATATATATATAAACTGTAAACTTAGTTTCTTTTCCACCCGTTCCTGGGGCATGTGAGTCTTCCCTGGTGAAGACTCATGCTCTATGGCACAATAACAGCTGCAGGAGAGAGAACCAAAATATGGCAGATTTTGAGTGAGTAAAAATGACCAGCTGACTAAAATATTTCTTATCACCATATAAATTCCCTTGAAAATCACTACTTTGTGATAGTTATTCATAACCACTGCACTAAACAAAGATAGCATGCAAATTCCAGGACCACTCTTACTGACCTTATTCACCTACATGCAGCTATCAAATCCACCCAAACCTACTTTACCCTCTATCTCTACAATCACCCGAACACGTACCTGTAGGAAAAAGCAGGTTTTGGATCAGGGAAACAAATATGTCTTTAAAGATGTCAAAGACAATGCTGAAGCTACCCAGAGACCCATGAAACTCAGACAAACGCGACATAACGAAAATCACGTAATCATGTTTGGTTGGGTGAAAATCATCTAGCGATAGTGTTCTGGGGTTACTGTCATTTGAATTCGATAGTTTCAAGCCTTTAGCATACAAACATTTAAAAAAAGAGGACCCAGGATGGTACCTTGGGGAACACCACTGATGTATTTGCTTGTTTTGACTAGTTCTTCTCAAAGAGTTTGACAATCTGTATCAGAGGTTATTATTTTTTCCATCAAACAGGAAAAAGAACAGGACCCAGGAAGGTACTCTGGGGTACACCTCAAATGCATTTGCTTGTTTTGGACTTTGCTTCCCTAACGCACCTGTGTGTGCCAAAAAAACGAGCACTCTAAGACTCGATCCTGGTATCATTTCCCCCAATAAACAGAAAAAATAGCAAAGTAAATTTAGACTCTGAGTGTGAGTGGTTGTTTTTCTCAATATCTCAGCTGGTAATGACAGCCTGTCCACAGTGTTCCCCCTGTTCTTGCCTAATGACAGCCAGGATCAGCTTGAGCTACCAGCAACCCCAAACAGGATAAGTGTTTTAGATAGACGGGTGGATGGATAAAACCAAAGACTACATTTGAATTTCCAAAAAAAGACATTTTTAAGTCTCTTTCGTGTATCTAAACCATCTACGAATAACCTCCCTGCACACAGAACTGAAAGCATTATAATATAAATCCAGAGAGTAAACAACTTTTTTTTCAGGTTATTGCATAAAGAATGTGGCTTTTCATTTACGAGGCCTTACAAAAGCAATTTTCAAGGAGCCAAGGAAAAACCGCCTCTCCGCAGCGAGAGATTGATAATGTTCAATAGTGCTGACAAAAAAAAGAGTGAACTTCTTCACAGACAAGGTCAAGGGTACAGAGAGAGCTCTGATAAGGAAAAGTGCGACAGCTGCAACACATATAAACAGAGCGGCGTTTTCTTTCATGAGGATACGAAAGAAAAAATATGTAGTTTAATTGCAAGTATACGATTAACAGACAAATGAATGAAAGCTAATTATGTATCTATGTAAATCTGTATTTTTTTGACATGAGGCTACAGATAAAAAGTGTGGGATGCAGTTAGCCGTACTATGAAATACAATAACAGGATGAACAGCAGCCGGGCCAAAGCTCCATGTCTTATGGAAGCATCACCAAGTGCTATCTAGCTTTGAGTCCCCACCATATGGTCTCTTTGGCTCCAGCTTCCACAGAGAAAATGGGAAAAAGGAGAGAGGGGAGGTAGAAGTGGTGGTGGTGGGTTCCTGCATATCTCCAACAGACTGACAGAGTTAATAAGGGACAGGGCTTCGTGAAATCTGTCTAAATGCTGCCGGCCTGTCGTAAGAGATAATCCCTCTGAGAGAGAAAAAAATGGATCCTCAGTTAATGAAATCAATGCCAGCCATCTGGGACCATATCACATGTGACAGACGCCCACAAAGAGGCCAGTCGGACCTGTGACAGTGAAACCATGGTAACAGGAAATAGTTATACACGCACTGCTAACCAGGGGGGGAAGGTGACATGACGGCACCCTGCACCTTCACATCGCTGCCTATTAGAGCGAGACATCACCGCAGCATGGACAGATCCGGGGAAACTGTTAGCTCCTGTTGTATGTGGCGGGATTTCACTGTTTAACTCTGATTGTCTCATGTCAGCTGTTGACATTTCCGTCCTCTAACAAGCGCTTCTTTTACCACTGTAAAAGGACTCTAATGACGTGCCGCAGTGCTCTGAGGGTCTCTGAAGAAAGCTGTCCGCCTCCCTCTTTTCACATGCTCTCCGTCTGTCCTCCCCCTCTCCCCCTCTTGGGTCATCCTCGGTTTAAAAATGTCAGTCTTAATAAGTCAATTAGTCAAGAACTGAGTCTGAGGATCTCATTTTCAAAATATCACGGCAGGGGATGTGCTAAAGGGGGTGAAGTGAAGTCTTTTTACACGGAGTGACACTATTTGAACCTGAATGAAGTCTTTTATGCGAGGTTTTTCAGCGGTATAGCGATTGTGAGTTTTCCTGTATAAACCGTGAATAGACAGGAGTTTTTATTGTGTTCTGTGAATCGTGGATCAGAGGTTTTACTGCATTGAACAAAGTGATTCATAAACACCATCAAGAGAGCCTTTCTCAGGCTGCAACTGATGGCGCATCACCTTGAATGTAAAAGTGACAGGGGCGTGAACAAAGTGGGGGTTTGGGGTGGCACGGGCCCCCTTTAAAATCCTGAACTATGAGTGGTTTATTAGTGGTTTTTTCCCCTCAAAGGTAGCGGTAACACTTTAAAATAACCATAATTTATAAATGGTTAATAGATAGTTTATAAATGTTTAATCATTTTAAAACAGATCAGAGGTTTTACTGCATTGAACAAAGTGATTCATAAACACCATCTAGAGAGCCTTTCTCAGGCTGCAACTGATGGCGCATCACCTTGAATGTAAAAGTGACAGGGGCGTAAACAAAGTGGGGGTTTGGGGTGGCACGGGCCCCCTTTAAAATCTTAATGGTGTGGGATTTTCCCTCCAAAATCCTGAACTATAAGTGGTTTACTATTCTGTATGAAATAGTACATAAAATAAAGCAATCCCCCCCCCTCAAAGTTAGCGGTAACACTTTAAAATAACCATAATTTATAAATGATATATAGTTTATTAATGTAAGTTAATAGTTACTTTACCATTAACAAGCAATGAAATTATAATTAATAATTTTTATTAATTATTAATGGACTATTTATTAAAGTTGATATTGGGTTTAAATATTGGTTGTAAAGCATCTAGATTAAAATGTGTGTCAGTAGCACTTTGTAAATGGTTAATATTTGGTTTTTAAACCATCTATAAACATTACTTAGATGGTTTTTGTAAAGTTGCAACTGATGGTTGTAATACTTTGTAAATCCAATCCAATGGGCTTTATTTATATAGCACGTCTTAAAAAACATTCAAGTCTACCAAAGTGCTGCACAATAAAATTAAAACAACAGACAATGCTAAAAAAAAAACATCAAGATGAAATAAATAAAAGCAGGTAAAAAACATTTAAAATGAAATAAAATAAATTGAAAATAAAAACACAAAAGCATAAAAAAAATAAAGGTGATAAAATGATTAAAAAATGGTTTATAAACCATCTCCAAACATTACTTAAATAGTTATTGTAAAGTAAGAGTTGGGGTTAGGGTTAGGTTTTTAAAAGTGTACAATTTATTAATGGTCTATATGCTATTCATAAATGATGATTAAACATTAATAAACTATCTGCTAACCATTTTTAAATGGTCTATTTACCATTTATAAGTTATGGTTATTGTAAAGTGTTGCCAAGTTGGCTTGACATGTTTTTTTTTTTAAAGGGTGTATGTAACCCAGATCGCTCTCAAGCTTTAAAAAGACATAATCTTATCCAGCTGTAATTCATGGTGCTTCAATTGAGTTTTTTTCTGTCTGACACATTTGGAAATTAACAGTACTCAATAAAAAGTGGTCAGCTAAGACTTAAAGTTTGCACTACATCCACATCTGGCACTTCCTGTTTCCTGCTCGACTTCACGCCAGAGCAGAATTAACACTTTTGCCTCTGGATATGGTTCAGTGACAAATCTTACAGACTCGAGTGTTTCAAGACGATCTTAAAGGGAATAGCGATGAGTCGATTGAAAGCGCCTTCACATCTTTATAGCTAGCAGCCAGTGAGCTTATCTCATCGCAGCAAAGACTGGGAAAAGCTCAGTCCTATAGTAACAGAATCTGCCCGCAGCTACACTGAGGCTCACGTTTCTTTAATCCCCACAAAGTAAGTATTATCATCCTCGCTGTGGAGAATAACGGTAAACAGTCGAGCAGATTCTGAGATTTGGAGGTTTGCAACAGTTTTTTTCCCCCAGGATGCCACACTTGAAACATTTGTGATTATCTTTAATGCCGACTGCAGTTTAACACAGCTAGACTCCTGCAACCAGAGCGATCATCAGTCTTATTAAAGGTTTTTGAGATGCTGTTGTTTCATTCATGAAGGAAAATTTTGATTTCTCTAATTAAAGATGATTTATCCCACCAGCACACAGGCTCGTAAATATTCGACTTTTCTTTTCCCTTCTCTCCTCCAACTGGAATAATTTAAATTAATCAAATGGGGGTCGTGTTATTTCCTTGATTCTGACTGGTCAAAGCCCTTGACAACTCCTTGACAACAGAAATAAGACATATCTAATCAATCCAAAAATAACTCCTACACTTTATCTCTTCTGCTAATTGACGCTGTTGCAAAGACACTAGTTTCATTAAGCTATCTGTTACGCAGACTTTATAGTCTACTGAGCGAGCCGGAGGTGAGTTGTTCTCAAATTAAGCTAATGGCTGGTGTGATTATCCTAGTAACACAAATAAATCTGGCAGCCATCAATAAAGAGACATTGTGCACGGTAAATTGTGTTTAACCCATTTGTTTATCCATTTAGGCCATGCTTTATTTTTATTCGCTGTATTTGGTTCCTTGTTTCTCTGTCGGCTTGCTTCTTGATTGGCTACATTCCATTTCACGCAACAATTCACAGAGTCATGACTCGGGAGTTGTCGGCTTGCACCACACACATGAAGATCTTTTATCGTAAATATTGAACAAGTTCAATATCTACGATTGTCGGCCCGGACCCGTTTTGGACCCAATAATCAGGACAAATTCTCTCTTAATACACCTCAGACCACAGGAACATCTTATGGGATAATCTTACAAGACATAAGATAATCTTCAAATTGTCATCCTTGGTCGGAAGGGGGGAAATCGGGACAAAAACAGCCCGATTATCTATATGTTTGTACCCCACTTTAGCGCGCTAAATTGCTTTATTTGCTTTATTTGCTTTCTTTATTTTAATTTGCTTTATTTGGGTCCTCAGTCAGCTCGCTTCTTGATTGGCTACATTCCGTTGCACTTGACAATTCACGGAGTCATGACTCAGAAGTCATCGGCTTTGCCCACACACTTGAAGATTTTTGATTAAACTTGTTAAACTTGTTTAATATTTACGATTGTCGGGCCCAACCCATTTCGGACCCAATTATCTGTACAAATTCACTCTTAATACACCTCAGACCGCAGGATAATCTTAGAAGACATAAGATAAGCTTCCGATTGTCGTCCTTGGTCGGGAGGGGGGAAATCGGGACAAAAACAGCCCAATTATCTTTATGTGTGTACCCCGCTTTAGCGTGCTGAATTGGTAGGAAAACAACATGGATGTCTTAATATCTTGATGGGAACAGCAGATCTTGCGAGTGCATCTCTTAGTTTCCAATCATGATACTATTTTTATCTATTTCTAAACCATTAGAATCATCTTTAAACTTTTTTGATAGTCGGGTCGCTATGGCAACAGGTTCACAGTTGGAGGCACCTTCCTACCCCGACCAGGTCGTTTAAATGGCTGCATCCAAACAACAGCACCCCAGTGGCGGTCTCAAACCAGGCCTGGAAATTGGCAGGTTTGTCCTTGTAAGATTCTTCACGACACCTGTTTCCCATGAATATCCGCTCACCGCGCACTATCCCTTACTGAGCACAATTTCGCCAAATCCAAAAGCTCCCATCTGATTTCCCCTCCAACACACAAACACAAACACACACACACACACACACACACACACACACCTGTCTGCTTTTGACTCAAATAGCTCGGAAATTGCTCTGGGTGATTTTGCAGGAGATAGTGAAGCTACAGTTGCAGTGCAGATCAATAAGGTCCGCTTGCTGGCTCCATATCAGACTTGACAGTTTGGTGAAGAAAGGGCACAAACCTCAACAGAATGTACTCCTCAAACACGTTCAGAAGAAGACCCTATTTTCTTTCTCTTGTGCTTTCAGTTTCCTGTGTGCTTTTTCTTCCTTTCTGAATTTTTCCCATGTTGAAGCAGCTCTCCTGTGATTGTCTTGCAGACTGGGGTGTGCTGTCAGTGAGGCCGGGAGCACCTGGGACCAGCACTCAGGAGATGCATAAAATCTCCCATTTCATTCAGCATGGGGCGAATCTTTTTATACATTTGTTTCTTTCTCCTTGCACCAAGCGTCTCACAAATCCTCCCCGGGTCCTCGAGGATGAGCACACCACACGTCCTTAAGGCCACTTGCAAACAAAACCATAGATTTAATGCATATGACTGTGTCTCTGCGCAGGAAAGAAGCCACTCTAATACGACTCAGTGTTCGGGTACTTCACTTTAGATAAGAGTATCCTCTTTGTTGGCAAACGGCTTGTACATGTCATGCATGTGGACACTGGCTCAGTATTTACACACGCACTCTGTACAGACACATACACACTCCCCTCTAACAGCTCTTGGACTGAGAGCTCCTGGCTGTGAAAGCTGCCTTATTGGTTTGCTGGCATAACGCACAAGTGGCTGCTCTCGAAAAAATGACTCATGAGAGTGTGCAACAGTAAACAAGTTGCTGGGCTGACCAAAGGCAACCAGTTGCTTATTTCCCTAAACACGCCTGACCTTGGCAAGAATTCAAAGCAGAGAGCCAAAGGTTTTTCAAGCTGCGACAGTGCCAGGGAGAGCCTCAGGAAGAAAAAATGTGTTTGGGTTTATTCTGTCAGTGATCAGATTTGAAACAGACTGTTATGACTGAGATATCCACAGATACGTCTGCTTGTTGATATTTTTAGCCAACTTTTTAGACTTTTTGAAATCCTGGTTTTACGATAAGGTAAAGTCCATGTTTGCTCCACGCAAGCTAGATGCAAATAAACGCCACTGCAGCCTGATACTGCATGTAGGACAGAGGCAGTGAAGGAGAGAGAGTGGCAAATATCTGCAACTCTGATAAACACAGAGAGTAGTAGCAGTGGAGAGTATTTGAACGATGGTGTTAAAGGGATATTCCGGCGTAAAATTAAGGCGGTCTTTACACGAGTACGAATTTGGAAGACAGCGGTAAAATAAACTATCGATCGGGTGACATTGACACATGGAGACGTGTATTCGTTCATGACTCCGTATCTTTTTTGAAAACGGGTCAGCGGGTGACCTCATAGCACCCCTCCTCCTCCCCGCCCCCCAACCCACGTTGTCACACACACAGCAACAACAACAATGGCGGTAGCATCTACAACTACAAATATTACTACGACTTTTATCCCAACATTTAGAACAGCAACAACACCAGCTACGGCAACAACAGCAACAAGTGCTCATGCAGAGATGCAGCATGTTACGCATGCACAACCTGTTGTTGTGGAATCCACCTCGGAGCAGAACCAGACGGGCAGACCGAACCCGGTTTTGCGTTGTCATGTAAATGCACTAAGCCTATGTACAATACGATGTGTAAACAGCGATACATGTTTTGGTGCTGACGCCAAGACAATACGGGGCCGTCCTCGTGTGTTGACATCCTAAGTTAGGGTCAAACACACCGTAACTCGGGTTAGACACCCCGTCGAGAGATGAATGTTGCCGACTGTTTGCTTCTCTAGTTATACCAACTTTAGTAATGACCGCAGGATGGCAATACAGAGAGTCACGCGCTCAACCAAAACGCCACTCTATAGCCACAAATAATGCTCAGAACAGCACCTAACTTCATCAACAGGACATATAGGGTCACAGACATAGTACTAGCCACCAAACATCTTTTTAACTTTGCCTGATTTCTTTAGCAAAGAGACTAAACACAACTCACCTACTCTCTCCCAGTAGCCACTTGTTTGTACAGAGACCTCCGGGCGAGTCCATCGACTGTAGCGGGGTGTCGCAGCTCAAGGAAGAACATTTATGATCATTTCTTCATGGAAACGCAATCAGACCGAGACACTAAGACAGAAGAACTATCGCGTCTGCAGTGCAAAATGATTATTATGGTGATTATCACTTCAAGGAAATGATCATAAATGTTCTTCCTTGAGCTGCGTCACCCCGCAGCAGTCGATAATGGACGTCATTATCCAAGATGGCAGCGCAGTGCATCAACAGTAAACAGTAAAAGCTCTCATAATCTAACTGTGAACACGGTGCTATGGTGTTTGTAAGAGTAAAATACTGTGTTATGCGTTGTTTACAACTGGTAAAGCTAACAACAACGTACGACCGCTGACATCGGCTAACAACAGCGGACAATTGTGAACAACAGCTAACAACGGTAGGCGTCCAACTTGGTTTTCTGGTTTGTTAACTGGAATACTGTCAACTCAGGCGTAACGTCATTCCCAACTCTGACATCCAACTTCTGAGGTAACTGTAACGCAGCATTAGACCTGTGTCAACTACAAAACCCTGAGAAGAAGAGGAGCTGTTTGAGGACGCAAATATCAAATATCTAAAGAGACACTTGTCTTATTTATTCTAAAATTGCATCATTTTTGAGGGCCGTCTAGTACCTGAGGATACTATTGAATTCACCTTCAGGAGGAGAATATTCAAGAGAGGTTGCAATCGTGCATTTCTCGCCAATAACTCTGTGAATAAATCAGCGCTTCAGTCTCTTTCTCCCCCTGCTGAGGTTTGTGTTTTCCAAGTTTGTCTGCGCAGCATAATTAGATATACAAAACTCTCATTCTCCCTCGTCTCAGTCCTTCCTGTCATGATGGGCGATCCATCAACACTGAACACCGAGCTTAAAAGGGAAACTTTAATGTTAAATTAAATTATTGTATCATTATGCTCGAATTGAATATTCCATTTCCCTCTGCTCCCTATCAGTCACCGCACACACAGTAGGAAAAAAAGGAGCCTCAGAGAGAGAGAAAACCTTAGAGGGGAAGAATTAAATCAATCTGTCATTTGATGCTATAGCAGCCGACTTAAAGCTTCACACTGCAACGTTCTCAATAAAACATGAAAATCTTAAATCATTAAATACTTGAAAAGCTAATTGGCGGACATGGGGGGAAAAAAAGGGAAGTGTTGTGTTTTCACAATAGCTGCTTCTGTCAGGATGACAGTGCCCTCGGATAATTAACACAGCCCCTCAGTCAGGCACTCAGTCATACATTTATTCACACAGCCTGGATTGAACGATGTAGACCCTGAGGTTAAAACACTGTGACTTCTACAGCCAGCTGCTACCACCACGGATGCACACAGATGAACTGATGCAGCAGATTCTGTGATATCTTGACTTTTGGCCTCCTCGTTTGGGTCTATTTTTAATTCTGTGTTTTCAGTAATGTGACTAATCCTACGAAATCCTAATCTTGACATAAATGTTGTGAATGAGCGTCTAATATTTTGGCTTTTTTCGCACAGTGCAGCTGGAAAGAGGTTGATTGTAAAGGCAGGTTCCTCCATGTAAACAGATGGGATATGGGTCAAACTTTAAGAAGATGAACAAACGTATTTTTTTTTTGTCTCCAAGCCAAAACAACAAGTCATGCCATCAGGTTTATTCTACCACCCTGCCGCAGAATACATTATCCAGCTGTTTTAATCTTCGCAGGAAGAAGCCCTGACCTTCACTAAACCTTATGTGCTGAATAACTTTCTTTCATTCCCCACTGGATTCCTGACACTGCGGATGCCTCTGCACTCTTGCTCCATCTCTGCAGTTTGGGAAAACTTGTGTAACTTTTTGAATATTTAAGCTTTGGACCCTAAGATACAGATTCAACACACATCCGGGATGAACTTCACACCGTTAGTTAAATCAGAATATTCATTTGTTTTGTTCCTGAAACTCTTTTTGTACTCTCTGACTTGGCAAGCAGACAGCGTGACCCACTTTGAACCATCTCTGTGACCTTTTTCACCACAGGAACTTTACAACTCATAACTTCAGGCGAAGAGATTCAAGCGGCAGGATGTTTTTTGATGGTATGGAGTACAGAAAGAGAGAGAAAGAGAGAGAGCATGGGGTTCGGTTCCTGTGTGCTGTCTTTGTGCTGCTTCTCTCAACCTCCCACTGCGGCTCCTTTGCTAATTTAACAATGTTGAGGTTAAAAAAAAGGAGTCACATGCCAACGCCAAAAGAAGTCTATATTAAGGTCGCCTTCACAATTATTTTCTTTCTCAAAACTTACCTGCACATGGTCTTTTTTAAGGCTTTTATCAGTGAGGCTTATTAGACATAGAAATAGAATACAATAGAAACACTATGACAGAATCAGGATCAGGTTACTGAGAGCACTTCTCAATACCATGATAACCATCGTCACCATAGTGACAACTGTCATGGTCATCATCATAGACTGTATATAGACTGGTTTGTGATCAAGTCCTCGTTTTTTCTGTACAGCTCCATTTTTTAAAGTCATTAAGGGGTTCATGTTTTCAATGATTGACACTTGATACAGCCTATGGGCGTACCAAGATTGCATAGATCATCATGTTACAGGAGAGCGCCATCACCGAGACTCTCCTGCTGAACGCTACCACGCAAATGCCGGTTCCAGGAAGTGGACTTTGGGGGGGGGGGGGGGGGGGGCATTCTAGATGAGTTTCCGACTTGGAGCTTGGAAATTCCAACTTCTAAATACAACTGGAACGCAGCATAACTTACTAAGATAGTAGCCTGGATTGCAGGACGTTGTCTCGCACCACTTTTCCCAAACTGAGATGACTGGGCGTAGAGTAACGTTTTTGCCACAGTGTCAACAAGCAGAAGGTGCTGAAAAGTTCTCCTTGAAGCCCTGGGAACCACACGGTCTAACCCGGGACTTTTCACCACATCTAGAACGGCTCCGATCGGGAAGGGCAGCGATTTTTGTTGTACGCCTATTCCTACTGGATCCGTTTGTGAGACGATTTTGGTAGCTGACTACGGACAGCGGTAATCGCGAGAAGTCACAAGAACCCACGGATTCACGTGCAATTGCGCGATGACTAGATGTCTCTTAACCACAGAGGCTAACCATATAAGCAGTAGATTGTGTCCTTCGAGAGGAGGAAATCTACTTCTAGACTTCTAAATTACGCATCTCCTCATCCATGGTGTCTTGGGTTAAAATGCTGCCTCAAAACCCTTCACTTTTTCGTCTCCGCCCGTTTGCATGGTGTGAAACACGATCCGCCTGAAACACAGTGTTTTATTTTAAAAATAAGCTGAATGTTTTATTTTGTGTCTCTGCCCAACTTCCTTTCCAGCACGGGTTAATCTGTGCTGAATTTATCCGGCATGCTACGGCATCAGGGAAAAATAGAACTCTCACGATCAGCTGTGAAGTCTGGCGATTGCAGTGGAATGGCAAGAAGTCGGTGGAAATTGACACGCTAACTTGAATGGTTACAGTCAGCTACGATCGGCAGAAACGGCCTTTTTGTAGCCGTTCTGGATGCGGTGGAAATTGGGTGTAAGCCAAATATGTCCATATTTACAGCCTGGTTCAAAAACCAGCTTTCGTCTGAGTCACTCAGAGGTCTCAAGCCCCCTACTGTACGCACCGTGATTCTGAATAAAGGTATATGTTGGATAAATAATGAGCCCTCTCGAATTCCGACAGAGCAGGGATCAGTTTTTACACCCCCAGTGATAAAGCTGAGACATTTTTAGTTTGTGCCCTGGATGACAGACATAACAACTCTCGTTTTTGTGACCATAAAACCCCGAGGGACACAAAAATCACCGGGCAGAATCTTTTGACAATGATAAAATAAAAATTGTACCAAGTTCTGTGCCAGAACACTGAGCAGATGCTGAGAAATTTCAGACCGGACTGAAGAGGTGAGCCAAAGAAACCGACAGACCAGCATCGACCATCCCTGGAGCCAGGCTGCGAGCACTGCTAAAAATACACCATCAGATCTGCATCAGCTCGCATGGTGAAACGACTCTGAGAAGTGCATGTGGTGAAAACAGAAAGTCCTTGGCAAAGATTCGGCTGATTTGAAGACAACATTTTTGGTCAAATTACAAAGTTTCTCTGGTGCAGTTTGGGCAAAAACACACGGGATAAGTTTTAGGGACAATTAAAACTATAAATCAATGAGGTTGTTTAATTTTCACCAGGAGCGCGACCAAAACTCGGCTTTTATTGGTTCATTTGCCAGAGGCTATTTTCAGTGCTTTGTTATGAACACATTAACTTTTTTAATTTGCACACTGTAGTGAAATCGATGGACTGAAAATAGGCTTGAGTTTAAGCCGCAACCGATCATCACAAAAGCCAGGAGAGCACAACTTTTGGAGTTTGGGTGTTACAACAGACCTGTGGACGATAATAAACTCAACAAGTTAAAATAGTAACTTAAGTGAAACATCATCTAGCAAATATTTTGGCTGTTTTTGAGTGTGCAGATCTCAACTAACCTAAGAAAATAAATAAACTGAAAAACCAGAGAGAGACCGAGTCACGGAATCGCATAAAGTTAATTTTGAGAGTTTTTCAGGTCGGCTCAAGTGTCTTTAATGCGCTTCTAACTCAGTGTGGCCATGCGACGCAAACTCAAAACTTCTGTACAAAACCGCGGACATGTGAGGACAGGTCAGCCCAGACAGCCCCCAGAAGAGAGGACATGTCCGGGTAAGAGAGGACGTATGGTCACCCTGAACTAAAGTGAAACTCCTGAAAGTGTTGCCACATCAATCAGGATCATCAATCATCAACATTTTGGCTACTTTGAAATGTGCAGATCTCAACTAACCTGAGAATAGAAATAAACTGAAAAACAAGAGAGAGGAACTAAAGCTGGGTGACCATATTCTGACTTCCCAAAAAGATGAAAAGACAGAGTCATAGAATCGCACAAAGTTAATTTTGAGAGTTTTTCGGGTCGGACCAAGTGTCTTTTACGCGCTTTTATTAACCTCCCTGGACAAAGCTGGACAAGGCCGGACAGCCCAGACAGCCTCAAGAAGAGAGGACATGTCCAGGTAAGAGAGGACGTATGGTCACCCTAAACTAAAGTGAAACTCCTGAGAAGTGCTGTTACATTAATCAGGGACCACTGGGTCATCGTGTGTGGTATCTCAGAAGCCAGCAGAGCACTACGCTGGGATGTGGGGATTGCAACAGACCTGAGGATGATAATAAATTCAATAAGTAGAAAAAGAAACAACAGTAAAACTCCTTAAAAGTGCTGCTGCATCAAAAATCCAAAAGCTAGCAGAGCACGACTTAGCAGAGAGCAGGAATCATGACAAACTTGTGCATGAAAATAAACTTTAGATTTCAAGAAAGCAACTCAAGAGAAACTCCTGAAAAGTGGACATTTACAAGGATTGACTGGACATGATCAAAATGACCTGATCAGGCAGACTGTCCTACTTCAAAGCTCAGTATGGACTATGCAGATGCGAGCACGTGCCTCGCGTGTTGATGTGACACACCAGAAGCCACAGCATTGTTTGACAACTTAAAAATCAAAACAGGTTTTTGATGAGGACGTCGCAGCATCAAGCTTCGGTATGTTTCCACTATTAAAGGATGCAAATCAGCGCGCTCAAGCCTTTCATTCCCCTCGCCATCCGTGTTCTGAGAAGCTCTTCAATCAGCGGCAGATTGTCGAAAGATGCGTACAGATCTGTTTTAATCAGGGACATCGTGGAGAAGATGAGCAGTCTCGACTTGTGAAGCATTCGAAAGGGGCACTTTACTCTTTATTTTCAGGTCAAACAACACCAGCAGAGTCGTCGTGGAGATGTTGCGCAATGTTCAAGTGGTGCGCTGTTTTACTAAAGCATGGGCAAATTCAGCAGAGATCCATAGAGAGAAAATGTGAATTCAGATCTCAAGGCTAATCGCTTTTTCTTTCTGTCACTGCAGCAGAGTGCGCTTGTCAGTTTAAGGTCACTCCAGCTTTTATATCTTCCTTTCTAACACTCACCCTCCCTCTCCTTCTGCTCTTTGGAGGTGTCTTTTTTTCCACGCGCCCACTTTCAGCGCCAAAAGCCTCCTTCTTCTTCTTCTTCTGTTTTTTTTTTTGCAGTGCAGCAAAAGTATGGACCTAGTCTTTGTTTCCAATTCTGCCCTCATTACGAACAAACAGAGACGCATCAATATTTCAAGCACTCGTGGGCAAACATAAGCACAAAAGAGACACGGTCCAGAAACTGAGAGGGAGGAGAAAGAGAGAGACAAGCCAGAGGCCAGGAAGGAAGTTTCAGAGTAAAATATAATCTGGGTGAGAAGAAAGAAAGAAAGAGAAAAACAAGAACAGACGGAGAAAGAAAGGCGATGCAGAGGGTTTTTAGAAAAGCCACATAGGAAAAAACAAACCTGATGAATAGCTGAAAGAGAATGACAGGGAGGTAGAGGAGTGGGAGGTGGTGCTTTGTAACAGTGATTTGAGTTTTTCAACTGAGGCCAGCTGGGACAGGGAGGATTAACTGAAGGCCAAACAACCAAACAGAGTCACAGTGAAGAGCTGGGAGGCGGACAGCAGCTACAGAGACAGACTTTGAGAGACAGGCTGAGGAAATGAACAAAAAAAAAACAAGAAAAGAAGCGGCAGATTTACGAGGGAGCCGGGACAAAGCCGCGAGGATATATGATTCACGTTTATGGTGACAGACAAACAGAGCTGCAACAGATGGGATATTTCCATACTGAGGTTGTCCTGTCATGATGGATGAGCTGAAGGCGCTTGTACGGCTGCTGTGGTCACGGGCTCGTGTTTTGTTTCCCTCCCTCGCAGGTTTCTTTGAAACACATAAAGCGGGGTCATGTTTGGTTTTTTCTCCTGCCGTGTGGGTGAAAGAGGATTGTTTTGGGTACATGATGCAACATTTAGTCAGAGTTTTCCCTCTGCTGTATTTGTGGTTTTGTCCTGTCAAAACCCTGCTGCAGTGGCGGCGTGATGAACACTGCGGTGGTTTATGCATTTCATTATTTATTCTCTTGAACCTTTTCTTTACCTTACCTGGTGGAAGGTAAAAACATGGACAAGATGCGCAACATACATGTATCTTGCAAAAAATGAGATCATTTTCTTGTACACGAATGTTGATATGACAGAAAAGTTTATTTTATCACACAGTGGTTATCGTTGTAAGCACGAGCTGGCACTAGAGAATAATTTGTTCCAACAAGATACTTATCTTGCGCACACAAGATGATACAAGTCATCATCATGTGCGAACAAGATGATATGTTGCAGAAATGAGATCGTTAACTTGGGTAAACAAGCAAATCTTTCTTAAATAAGTTATTATCTAGCGCACACAAGATAGGATCATGATTAAACAAGTTGCTAACCCATGTGCCCAGATATTTTATCTGAACATCTTGTGTTGACAACATGATGAAATAATGTCAACGCAAGATGGAAACATGTTCAGACAAAATATCTTGTGCACATGAGTTAGCAACTTGTTAAATCATGATCCTATCTTGCATGCACTAGATAATGAATTATTCAGAAGAGAGAGTTGCTTGTATACCCAAATTAATTCTCATTTCTGCAATATATCATCTTGTTCACACAAGATAATCACTAGTTTCTGCATGATAATTACATTAAGTGCATATATGTATTTAGATATTTTGTCTGAACATGTTTCCATCTTGCGTTGACAATATGAAATATTTCCACAGGAATGTATCTTGTCTACACAAGATAAAAAAATCTGTTCCCACAAGGTTGATTTTATTGTAGCAATTATCTTGTGTGTACAAGATTATCGAGCTGTTCTAAATGTTTCATGTGCGATATGAAGTGCGATATAACTATCTTGCGAAATAGTGATCTTGAGCAGATGATATACTTTCTTGTGGAAATAAGGTGGCCTGAGTAATCTTGTTTGTGCAAGATATAATCTTGTAAGTACAAACTTTTATCTCACATGCACTTTTACTAAGTTTTTCACTCCCCCCCAAAAAATTCTTTCCACTCAAAATATAGCCCTGTTCTAGCAAGATAGTGTCTTGTGTGCAATATGACTATCTTGTGAGAGAATGCCATTATCTTGTGCAAAAAAATATCTTGAGGAAATTTGTTTTTTTCCTGTGTGAACAAGCTATTATCATGCAGGATCAAATTTTAATCTTGTGTGCACAAGAAAATTAGGTAGGACGGAGAAGAATTATCCTGTCCGCACAAGAGAATGTTAGTGCTCGCAAGATAATAAACAAGTTAACATGGATAAATGTCTTGAATGCGGTATAAATATGTATAATACCTTGTAGGAATAAGTTAATTGATGTTATCTTGTTTGCTCATGATATGATCTTCTAGGATCAAGTTCTTATTCAACTAAATAGTTTTCACAAGATGAATTATTCGCACGCAAGATCACTAACTTGTTTCAGCTGCTGCATTTCTTGTTACTCAACATATTTAATTCTGCTGTAAAAGCCTGCCTCTAGTGGACACTCGGAGAACTGCAGCTTTCTGCTCATGCTCAGTTTGTACCTCTAGTTTGGATTTCCTTCCTCTTCGTCTGCAGCTTTGCGACCAGCCGAGCGTGCAGAGTCACAGGATGGGTTAAAGTCGATGTCATGAACATTTGACATTGAAATATGAGTATTTTTGTTGCTTCTTCGTGACATTTCCCCAAACTGGCAGCCATAACTGGACCCTGCAGAGTCAGTCCTATAAACACAGCTGTCCGCTGCTGGTCACTGTTCAGCTTCACCGGAGCAGCTGGAGGTTGTGACTAAACCTGCTGCTATTTTTAGCCTTACAAGCACTCGTCATGGGAGAGCTTTGCTAAAGCCAGGGGTTGTCCGGTTCGCCTGGAGAAGATATACGGATGTTTATTTCCAATTTTCACAAGGGGAGACTCCAGCTGAGGATACTTGAAGGAGTCTGGAGCAGAAAATAGTCGCAACTCCAGAGCTAGACATGAAAATAAGCTTATAGAGCATGTATCATATCATGTTATTATCATGTGTTATTATCAAGAAGAAACAGGGTTTTTCAATGGCGTGGATCTGGCGCTTAAACCCCCACAGTTTCCATCAACTTTCTCCTCACTTGACACCTCATCTCTGCAGGGTTAAGCGACTTGCTCTGGGACACTCCGGGGTTGGAGGCCATTAAAGAAAAGGATAGTAATTTAGTTTTTGCCCAACTGGCTCCATTTGCAAATGACAAACTTGACCCAGATCTGGTGAGCGGGAGATAAACGAAAGCTTGACCGACGTGCGCTGATTTTTTGAAGAAGCTTCCCTGAGTGTATTAGCTGCTGAAAAACAAATGCGGGCATTAAAGCAGACTGGAAAAAGAGGGATAGTGTCGACTTTTCAGACTGGTTAGTGCATGTAAGGATGAACAATATATCTCTATGAAGATGGAAGTGAGCAGAGCGCCTTTCCCGACCATCTTCACTTTGAAACAATCATGGAAGTTTAAGATAATTTATGCGAGCGGCGTACATGTAAATCTGTTCGTATCGTCACACTGATGTAGTTACTCCGTATAGGATCAAAGAGGATATACTTAGAATCTGTATCTTTTGGCTTCTGGCAGATCTCCTCATTCTGCATTCAGGGCCTCCTCCCCTGATTATCAGCGCTTTTAACCGGCACCGAAACCCGACAGACATGTGCTCATCTCCAGGGAGGGAAAGTTGTGGGAAAGAAGAAAATTGAGAAAAGGGTGAAAGAGGATGTCAGCGTGAGAGATCGTGGAGCCGTGAAGTGGTGCCTGATGAAGCTAATCATTACTGAAACATGAATATAATTTGTTAATCAGGCTCTGACCTGCTTTACCTGCTGAAATATGAACTCGCTCTTCATTTTGATTTTCTCCCTCCTAATGCCTCTGCTGATTCACTCTGAGCCTCCATCAATCTTCATCTTCCTCACTCCCTGCCTTCTCCTCCCATCTACTTTCTCAGTCCTCTCTTTCACAATGCGGCTCTGTGCTGGCTGAATGTAAATCATATTTCAGTCTCTTTCATCAGGCTCGGAGCTCTCTTAATGTTCACTGAGCAATGCCAACATCACCAGGCACTACTATTTATACACGACGACTCCAAAGTGGCTCGGGATCCGGTTCTTTTTTCATCCTCTCCAAATATACGCCGAAGCTGGGAGCTGACATCGGCTGACACACCGCATGCCTGGTTGATATTCTGAGGATTTAAGTCTATAAATGTGCAAATGTGTAATACAAGCTCATGCATGTGGACCGGCTGCACATCACCTTGGCATACCGGGTTGTACATGACACCACATGTCACCTGAACATTCACGGGTCACTTTGTACCTGACTGAAATGTCTCTGCAGTTATTATTGCAGTAATGGCCGTGACATTTGCACATTCATGCTCCCCTGTGGATGAACTTCCCTCAGTATAAATAAATGGTGCGTTTATCTTCCATCTACTTGGAGACTCAGTGAGCTCATGTTGAGATGAACTGACAGAGATTACTCGCTTGAAAAGACAAATGGACCGAGAATAGACCCCTGAGGAACTCCGTGTCTGGTTCCCAGTGTTGAGCTAGTTACTGAATAATAGTAATTAGTTACAGTTTCTCGTTACTTTGTAAAGAAAGTAACTCAGTTAGCAACTTAGTTACTTAAACCAAAAAGTAATCTCACCACACATCGGACGCCAAAGACACGTGCAGATCAAGTCAGTATTGGGTCTGTCCGTAAAAGACCACGTCTAGAGGTCAGTGCGACGTGCAAAATGGGTTAGAAATTTTGATATCCAGATTGGACCTTTTTTGGACGTCATTCTGAAGTCTAGAATTTGGACGTCATCTGAAGACAAAATCTAGATGTCGGCAAAACGTGCAAAATGGATCCATCCATCTCGCTCGCCATCATGCCGTGCCCCGACCTGTCTAGTCCTCTTTACTGCCCATGTTTAATTACCTCTGCCAAGGAGGTTATGTTTTCGGTTTGTCTGTTAGCAACTTTACGGAGAAAGTTACAGACGGATTGACCTGAAATTTTCACCAGAGGTGCGTCTCAGCCCCAAGAGGATCCCATTAAATTTTGGTGGTGATCCGGACAAAATTCCGGATACTGTGATCCAGAACACACAAAAATAAGGGTGTCGTTGGAATTTTCAATGCTGAAAGATAACCAATGGGCAGCACAGTGGTGTAGATAGGCGGTACAGTGGTGTAGTGGTTAGCACTGTCACCTCACAACCAGAAGATCCTGGGTTTGAATCCCGACCAGGGTGTTTCTTGTTTTAGGAACATTATGAACAGTGAACATACCAGTTTAAACACAAATAAAAGTTCATAAAAGACACGTAACAGTAAAAGTTTTGGTGTGAATCTCAATATAAGGGGGGACATGAGCTGCTTGGTGGAGGTCTTTTCTAGTTACGTTTGACGCTAGAGGGTGACAAGTGCTTTGTTTTTCCAATTGAATTAAACTTTATTAATCATTAAAATGTTTTGGTTACTGTGTGTCGTTGTAAAATCTCATCAAAAGGAACTTATTTTAACGCGTTGCTACCCAACACTGCTGATACCAAAGGGTTTGTCTAACAGTAGTTGTGTTTATCTCAGAGTACCTGCTCGCTCTTTACTCTGTCCTGTTGTAAAATTCAAAGTTCGGCTTCAGCCAGAAAGATTTGCATTGTAAATCTGATCTGTCTTTTCGCTTTGACTGGTAGAGATGAGTTATAGTGTGTTGCTGCCCCGCTAATGACACAGCGCCATCATAAATAAATGAGTGGGGAAAATGAGCCTTGAGGTCTTTGGCTAATTATTGAACACATATGCTATCGTGGCACTGTGTGTCAAAGTGTGTTAGAGTGGAGACAATCTGAGTCACACTGCAATTTGTATGGAAAAGCGCTCGGAGGTATGCATTCGTTATCAAGCTAGGAGAGAAAGAAAGACTGCAGACAGCAAGAGGGAGACTTTGTGAAGGTTTCAACCCGCCAAATCCACAAACACAAAAGACACGCCAGGTAGGCAAATGAGCCTGAGCTATGCAAATGAAGCAGTGAAGTTCAGGGCTGTGTTTGGCACAGGTCGTAACAATGCAACTATCCTCAGAGCCAAACGCTGCGAGCAACAAGTCGTCAACACACGACACGCCGGCGATGAATCACACACATACTCTCACAAACGCACACTCAGGCGTGGCTCGGCTGCCAGCTCCATTAAAAGATTTGAATCTGTGAAACTGAGACCAAAGAGATGCCTGGTAGAAGTTAATGGAATTTTTACGAGCTCAGTGGACTTGACGTAGGGGACGCCGGTGTCCTCATCAAGTCCAGATCAATTTCTTGCGGGCACATTGTAGCTTTTAGTTTACTTAACATTTAATTAAGTGCGTTTGGGAGCGGTGGTGGTGCATATTGATTGATTTTTAGAGGGAGGGAAACTATCTATGAGTGTGTGATTCGACACAAGACGCCACTCTTTATTAAGCGCTACAGAAGAGAGCTGCTATATAGACGGGACTAATGCAGTGATCCATGTGCCGGTGAATATCTGTAAACTTGAATTTGTACTTCTATTCAGGCAAGATGGCTCACCATTCAAGCACAGTTGTTAGCAAACCAGATTCTGGGTGTTTTGGCACTGTAGGCAGGTGCCATGTTTTTATAAAAAGGTTCCTCAAGCTCAAAAATCTCCTCAATGATGACTGTTTTGACCTGATTGAACACATCGGACCAGATTCTGCACCTCTCTTGACTTCTGGACTTTAATTTCCAAACAAAAATGAGCTTCTGCGGCTTAAACTCTTTGTTAAAGGGTTATTCCGGTGTAAAATTAATTTAGGGTCAAACACACTGTAACATTGGGTTAGACACCCCCTCGAGAGATAAATGTTGCCGACCGCTTGCTTCTCTAGTTACACCAACTTTAGAAATGGCCGCATGATAGCAATACACAGCGGTCTGAGGAGCCATAAACAAACCTCAACCAAAACGCCACTGTATAGACACAAATAATGCTCAGAACAGCACCTAACTTCATCAACAGGACATATAGGGTCCAAGCCACCAAACATATTTTTAGCTTTGCCTAATTTCTTTAGCAAAGAGACTTTACACAACTCACCTACTCTCTTCCAGCAGCCGCTTGTTTGTAGCGAGACCTTGGGCCAGTCCATTACAGACTACAGCGGGGTGACACAGCTCAAGGAAGAACATTTATGATCATTTCTTCATGGAAATACAATCAGACCGAGACGCCAAGACGGAAGAACTTCTGTGTCTGCAGAGCAAAATGATTAATATGGTGATTATTACTTCAAGGAAATGATAAAGAAATGATCATAAATGTTGTTCCTTGAGCTGCGTCACCCCGCTGCAGTCTGTAATGGGCTGGCCTGAGGTCTCGCTACAAACAAGCGGCTGCTGGAAGAGAGTAGGTGAGTTGTGTTTAGTCTCTTTGCGAAAGAAATCAGGCAAAGCTGAAAAGATGTTCGGTGGCTAGTACTATGGCTGGGACCCTATATGTCCTGTTGATGAAGTTAGGTGCTGTTCTGAGCATTATTTGCGGCTATAGAGTGGCGTTTTGGTTGAGGTTTGTTCATGGCTCCTCAGACTGCTGTGTATTGCTATCCTGCGGTCGTTACTTAAGTTTGTAAAACTAGAGAAGAAAGCAGTTGGCAACATTTATCTCTCAAGGGGGTGTCTAATGTGTGTGTTTGACCCCAAATTAGTTTTACGCCGGAATATCCCTTTAAGGGTGTCTGTGACTGTCTTCTTGACCCCCCCATGATTGTTGTCTCATGCACTGATTTAGACCAAGAGATTTAGGTCAGGTATTGGAAATATTTCCCCTTGAAGAAAAAGACAAATATCTCTTCAGCTGGTTCTGACAGACGCCTGAAACCACAAGACTGACTCGGTGACAGTGACGATACAGCCATGAAAATAAACCAAGGCGACATTCCAGACCTCTTGTGCCACTGTCTGAATTTATGTCGACACCTCAGTCGGAGTCAGCGAGCACACGAGTCCTCCTGAGCAAACTTCCCCTTTCGACACTTCACCATGTTATCCTGTTAACCCGGCGTGAAGAGCTCTACCCCGGAGGTATGAAATCCTTTTAAACTCTTTTATGTCATCTTAAATTTACCCAACACATCAGGATTAGATATTCCCCCCCAATTACGCAAATCCTATAAATCTGACAGCTTCAGAAAAGAGGGGTGAAGCCATTTTCAGACACCTCCAGGAATTTGGCATTAACTCCAATTAACACCAGGTGATTAGTTATTGTCTCAGCGTGATAAACTCTCCATTAAGAGGACCTCATTTATCCTCATTCTCATAAACTTTGGCTGGTTCCTCACATCAGCTTTCTCTGTCAGTCTCACAGATGCTACACTGCCACCCACTGGCAGACAGCCGCCGTTACAATGTGGATGGTCGCCAAGTGAGGTCATAAGTATTAGAAACAGTTGAGTTATGTAACCCTTAAATTAAGTCCAAACATTTTAATGAGCAAGTGCAGAGCGATGGAAAGCTTCTAAAAAAAAAAAAAATCATATTTGCATGTAGATTACCGAACAGCTTGAGCAGGAGTGCATCTCAGATCACCTCATCTGTCTCATGCATGTGCATCAGAGTGTGTGTGTATGTGTGTGTGTCAGTCCCTGTGTGAGCAGTCATGACCAGGAGGTCAGACAGATGTCGTAAACACCAGGCAGCGTCCCTCGAGGATTTACCCCTCCTGCTGCACTGCACAGAGAGAGGGAATAAAAATAAGGAAGAAAAAAAAAACGCTCTTTGCGCTCGCTGCAGAGCAGTCCCGTCCCTCCTGCTGCAGCCTGCCTCTCTGCTGAGGATCTTGGCCCTGACTGAGCGACCACCTGGGAATCTATCAGTCATTGTTATGGCTACCTGTCCAATGACAGCGTTTAAATAAATGAAATGGGGCAGGGGAAGAAAAATACAGTGCATCATCAAATATTAAGCTCAGCATCACAGATGAGCCGGGGACGAGGTCATGTTTTATAAGCAGCCGGCTGTAAAGAAAGCTCAGGTCCTGTCCTCTCTTTGGGAAATCTGGGAACACTGCCCACACGCTCCATTTACACTGACTACACGCTGCTTTTTTTAAAGGGGAAAAAATGGCACACTCGTGACGCAACGCCAAGATACAGCATGGGTTACAAAGCCGGCGTGTACGCACCAGCTGTATGACATGTAATCCTCAAAAGCGTGCAGAGAAATGATCCCTTTTACCCCCCTCTGGGTGAAAAACTGAAGGCTCAATTTGTAGGTAGAGGAAAACAAATCAGATGGAAGTAATTGTTGAGAAGTGGAGTTGATTAACTGTAATAAGCCATCAGGAAAATGCTTCCCAAAAGGATTCAAGAAGCGATGAGGAGGCTGACTATCTTAAGTAAACCTGGTGCTGATATTTTCAAGTCAAATGTGGACTTAATCATATCAAGATGTGACGCAAACAGCAGCAGCGGACAGGGACTGTGCTCTCAGTGGAAACAACAGCATCAGTCATTTTAGCAAAGGCCTCACAGTGACATGTGTTTATATTCGAGTCAAAGCACCCATGAAGGATAGCACTGTGGCTGAGGAGACAATGTAATGTTGATAAAGAGGCACAAAGTTAGACTTGGAGAGAATTTTCAATTTCAATCTGACAGTCAATGTTTATCCCTCTAAACTGTTATCCTCCTGAGTCCTGGTCCTGTCAGCTCTGAAAACTGCTTCATCCCCAGAAAATGGTTTGTCGTGGTTGTCTCAGCCCACTAATATTGATCCATCCAGCTGGTAGAGGCATCAGTTTGGTAAATTCAGTATTTATTGATCAAGAAGGCAATGATAAACAGTATGGCATGTCTGTTTGCTTCAATCCTATATCATCAAATCTGTTGGTTCAGTTCTTAGATTGATTATGTCTTTGGCCACTGGGAGGCAGTAAAAACAAGCTGCAAGCTCACCACTAGTCTCAAATCTCTCATAATGTTAGTGTTGTTAAAGGTCAGCAACAAGTTATTGAAATTTACAGCAGATGCAGAACAATTATGCACTCATCACCAATTAAACTGGAGTTCTTCTGGGATGTCTTCTCGTAACTTTATTGTTTCATATTTTATTTTATTTTATTTTTTTATATATTTTACATTTGTTCTTTTATTTTAATTTTTTTTATTTTTCAATTAAAACTTTTTTCCTTTTATTTTTTCTAAGATTTTTGTTTTATTTTTACTTATTTTCATTTTTGCCATTTTATATTTATTCCTTTTTATTTAGTTATTTTATTTTTACTTTTTAAAATTTTATCTGATTTATTTTATATTCACTCTTTTATTTTTATTATACTTGTTTGATTTTTTCAGTTTTACATTTGTTCTTTTAATTTATAATAATTTCATTTTTCAATTAATACTTTTTTATTTTATTTTTAGATTTTTCATTTACTTTTAATGATTTTTGTTTCATTTCTACTTATTTTTATTTTTGACATTTTATATTTATTTTTTAATATTATTTTATTTTATTTTAACTGTTTTAATTTCATCTGATTTATTTTACATTTATTCTTTTATTCTATTTGATTTTGATTTAATTTTTACTTTTTTATTATTTTATCTGATTTTTTTCAAAAATGTCTTTTATTTATTTCATATGATTTTCATTATTATTTTTTTTTAAATTTATATATATTTTTTACTTATTATTACTAATTTTTCATTTTATTTCTTGTTTTTATTTAATCTTAAATTTTGTTATAAAATGACCACCGATTACTTATATACTAGACTGATAGACTGGTAGACTGATATTTTTTATGTGGTCCTTTTTCTGCACAAAACAAGCTGGGACACAAAGTGACCTTGGTGCTGCTGGTGGTGCCACTTCTATCAGTGAGCTGAGGAAGACTCTAGTGGAGTGCTAGTTTGATTAAAAGGACTTCTTAAGACCAGGGTCTAGCACAGGTGCGTGGCGTCACTTGAGGTGAATTGCTTTTCAACCCCCCTCATCCTATGAACATGACCTTTCCCCAGCTCAACAACTCTACCCATAGCTAGCATGATTGTTAACTACAAATGGCAAAAACAGACAATAGGGGGACATAGCTACACATTTTTACACTAACAGGAAGAACATTTTAAACTTCTTTTCTCTTTGAACGACCCCTTGAAATAGACTGGAACCCATTTTTTGTGATCTTACAGTCCTATGAATCCTGATCAAGCCAAACTTTCCAAAACGAAAAGCCCACAAATGTCTGAATGAGCCTTTGTTGATAAAAAGGCTGTCAAAATTCGAACACTGGGCCTCTCACCGATATGACAGTTTTATACATGCCTTCCAGTCGGTGACAGCCACAATAAGACTGAAGCAGACATCTTATCTCCACAGTAGCCCAAACACATGTGCTCAAGGACACAAAAAGGATATATAAGCCTTACCAGCTGCACTCCATCGACAAAAAACCCTCAAAAGACGCTGTCTGTGACTTTTGGCTTTAGTGATGTGGATCATTAACCACAGTAATCAGAAGAGTGTTTTCATCTCAGGAGCCAGATGTGATGTGATTCTAATGGGTCCCTCTCTTCTGTCTCCGGCCTGATGGAGAAACTTATCTCTGCTTCCAGCAGCAGCAGTAGCAGCAGCCGACATACCAATTACAGGGTTATTTTTGAAATCCTGCTTAACCATGACGCTACTCAAAATAGTTCTTAAATAACAGGGTGTCAGATATCAGCAACCAAGTGGCACTGCATAGAGGCAGCTGGTGAGTATCTGTGCCATCGACCAGCACTGGCACACACTGGAGACTACATTCCCCATGAAACGCCGGCCTTTGGCGAGTTTGGACCCCTTCACTGGGTTCGTTGTCCCTGGAACATTTTAAAGGGTTAGGCTGATGTCACAACCGCATTTGGCGGGATAAAAAGTAGGTCATTCTGGCCTTTTTGTCCTGTCGTCAGCCTTTTGGTGAGCAGGAGGGTTTCTTTTAATGGCTTGCCTCACTTCCAACAGACTTAGATTTTCCTCTCGGAGAAGCCAGCTGGGGTGGAAAAACCAGGAAGCTCGGAGAAATGCCACCCTCCTCCTGAGCGAGCAGACATGAACCGTACGCGTTTATGTTCACCAGAGTCAACAAAGGGATGGAAATTTGACACCCCAATTCCAAAACGGGACATGTTAAATATTTTTAGTGGAAAATGAAGACTTATTAGTCTCTCTATGTGAGAGACTGCGTGAGCAAAATGAATCTAAAGTAGAATATCAACAAAAGACTCCTCTTTGTGCAAAAAGGCTAAGGCCTAAAACTAGTTCTGGATGGTTGTTAGCTTCAGGCCCCAACGTGGCCTGCATGAAAACAGGCATGACTCTGTAGTGTAGTGTTGTGCTGTTCACGAACGATTCATTCAAAAGAACCGAATCATTTCAGTGAACGTACTGAACCGAATCACTTCCTTGAGTGATTCATTCGTTTCTCACTTCAGTTGAGCTGAAGTGAGGAACAGCATCGCCAGTCAAGCAGCCGGCGAACGGGGGACTGCATGCACCAACACCTGAATCACTTGGTGAACGAATCACGCATTGAACTACACTCTCTGGAATCATTTTTGTCTGACAAAACTACCTTTTTTTATAACTTACAGCTAAATTGCCACCACAACAGTTCGCTTACTATAGGACACAGCATGTAACAAATAGTGCATTAAACCCGCAGCATCCTATCATTGCAGCGGTTTGTGAGGGAACGGTTCATGTTCAGTTTGAATTCTTCTAAACAGTCAGTGAACGAATCACTCACTGAGCCCCATTTACCAAGCAGACCTGATAAATAGCATACCAAAGAACAGTACACTTAAAACATCATGACCTATAAACAAGTTCATTTTTACAAACCTGTTTGCCAAAGCAACACAGACAAACACTCGTGTCCTCCAGTCCCAGGAACTGAATCCTGAACCGTTCAGCTGTGTATCAGTTCAGGAGGTTGGAGTTGCAGGCTTCTCCCTCCAAACGCTACATGATTCGGTGATTTGGTGAATGAATCTTTTGAACGAATCTTTTTAGTGAACTGATTCCAGTGATTCAGTACATCTAAGAGAACTGCAGTGCCCATCACTACTGTAGAGGAAATCACCACATGGGCTCCAAACCACCTCAAAAACAGACTTAACCTTACACGGGTTAAAACTACATCATGTAGAAAATACCAGGCACCAATTCTCAGAGTCTGGGTGGAAAACGGTCCAAGATGTGACCCAGAAACTTATGTCTTTGGTTTTCTGTTTTTCTAGCTTTTTGGATATCTGTATCTGTCGCACTAAAAAGACAGAAAAACCTCCAATATTTGACTTTTAAGATCTAGAAACTGATCTTCTTGGTTCTCAAATCTTTTAATCGTTAACATGCTAAACCCCCTGTAAAAGTTTGTGCTAACTTATTGAAAATCATGGACACTGTGTCTTTAGCTCTAAATAAAAAGCTGTCGATATTTTACTTTGAAAAACCTAGAAACGGATCTTCTTGGTTCTTAAATCTCTTTCCAAAGACAACACAATGATTAACATGCTAAACTTCCTGACAAAGGTTTTCCTTTTTGGAGACGATTGACCGGAGGGATCTGCTCTGTCTTCAGCTGAATAAAGTCTTTTTTCATCAATATTTTATACTGTGTGAGAGGGAGATGTACCTTCAACAGTCATTACACAGGGAAAACTGGAGCTTTTAACAGGAAACAGGAGCTACTTCGCCTGACAAATGACCTCACAGTCTTATAACCACCACTGACTTTACATTTCCAAGTGTCTTTGAAAGTTGCAAGAGCTTTTTTCTTCGATTTGTGAAAACGAAAGCTGCATCAAACCCATCCATCTCTCTGACACATCTAGCACAAAGTGCAAACCGTGGCAGTTATGTAAGAGTCATTTTACCTGGAGAGAAAGTACACTCCACGCTGGAAAATAAAATAAAATAAAAATGCACAGTGGGTAGGACTTACTGTGTTTGCCCCGGCAGGCTTCTCAAACATCCTCTTCAGGCTATCGAGTGGGATGTCAAACCTCTCAATCCTCTTCGCAGCCTGCAGGTCCTCTCTGATCACCGGATCGTCAGATGCCTCTACCTGCGACCCACAGGGACTCCAGGAAACGCAGCCCGAGGTCACCGACACTGCGCTCACCACCCCTTCTCCATTTCCTGATTGAATTTCCATTGTTGTACAGAAACTGTATCTCTCCTGACTCTTTTCCCCTCAGGCTTGTGTTTGGAGGGGGAAGTCTATTGTAAGAGTGAGGAAGTGGGGGATTTAAAGTAAAAAGGAGGTGAGAAATAGAGATGGAGATGCAGGAGTTGCTGGGGTTTCTCTCCGTCTGGAGGCTCCGCTTTGAGTTTGGCAGGCGCAGCGAGTGGCTGGAAAAAAAAAAGAGGAGGAGAGAAGAAAAAGTTCACAGGGAAAGTTTTTTTTTTCCTCTCTCCTCTGCCCTGTAATTACTCATACACACACAGGAGCCCATTTAAACTCGAATGTGGGTTCAGAGAAGCAAATTGAGATGTGAGCGGAGAGCTAAGGCCAGGGAGCGGCAACAAAGACATGAGAATGAGGCTGCTAGAGTGCTTATCCAGCATTTGTAACGTGGTAAACATGGATGTCTACTTCTACAGCTGATACACACGTGGACAAAATTGTTGGTACCCCTCAGTTAAAGAATGAAAAACCCACAATTCTCACTGAAATCACTTGAAACCTACAAAAGTAACAATAAATAAAAATTTATTGAAAATTAAATAATCAAAATCAGCCATTACGTTTGAAATGTTGATTAACATAATTATTAAAAAAAAAAAAACTAATGAAATAGGGCTGGACAAAAATGATGGTACCTCTATAAAAGATTGAAAACTATTTGACCAGAGTGACATGATTAACTCAGGTGTGTCCTTTAATTGACATCACAGGTGTTTCCAAACTCATAATCAGTCAGTCTGCCTATTTAAAGGGAGACAAGTAGTCACTCTGCTGTTTGGTGAAAAGGTGTGTACCACACTGAACATGGACAACAGAAAGCGAAGCAGAGAATTGTCCCAGGACATCCGAAAAAAAATTATAGACAAACATCTTAAAGGTGCAGGCTATAAGACCATCTCTAAACAGCTTGAAGTTCCTGTGACAACAGTGGCTCATATTATTCAGAAGTTCAAGACCCACGGGACAGTAGCCAACCTCCCTGGACGTGGCCGCAACAGGAAAATTGATGACAGATTGAAGAGACAGATCGTTCGAATTGTATCCAAAGAGCCCAGGACAACCTCCAAAGAAATTAAAGGTGAGCTCCAAGGCCAAGGTACATCAGTGTCAGATCGCACCATTCGTCGTTGTTTGAGCCAAAGTGGACTTCATGGGAGACAACCAAGGAGGACACCACTGCTGAAAAAAAATCATAAAAAAGCGAGACTGGAATTTGCAAAAATGCATGTTGACAAGCCACAAAGCTTCTGGGAGAATGTCCTTTGGACAGATGAGACCAAACTGGAGCTTTTTGGTAAGGCACATCAACTCTATGTTCTTAGACTCAAAAACCAAGCATACGAAGAAAAGAACACTGTCCCTACGGTGAAACATGGAGGAGGCTCAGCAATGTTTTGGGGCTGCTTTGCTGCATCTGGCACAGGGTGTCTTGAATGTGTGCAAGGTAAAATGAAATCTGACGACTATCAAGGCATTCTGGAGAGAAATGTGCTGCCTAGTGTCAGAAAGCTTGGTCTCAGTCGCAGGTCATGGGTCTTCCAACAGGACAACGATCCAAAACACACAGCCAAAAACACCCAAGAATGGCTGAGAGAAAAGCGTTGGACTATTCTAAAGTGGCCTTCCATGAGCCCAGATCTGAATCCCATTGAACATCTGTGGAAGGAGCTGAAACATGCCATTTGGAGAAGACACCCATCAAACCTGAGACAACTGGAGCAGTTTGCTCATGAGGAGTGGGCCAAAATACCTGTTGACAGCTGCAGAACGCTCATTGACAAATACAGAAATCGTTTAATTGCAGTGATTGCCTCAAAAGGTTGTGCAACAAAATATTAAGTTATGGGTACCATCATTTTTGTCCAGCCCTATTTCATTAGTTTGTTTTTTTTAAATAATTATGTTAATCAACAATTCAAAAGTAATGGCTGATTTTGATTATTTAATTTTCAATAAATTTTTATTTATTGTTACTTTTGTAGGTTTCAAGTGATTTCAGTGAGAATTGTGGGTTTTTCCTTCTTTAACTGAGGGGTACCAACAATTTTGTCCACGTGTGTAACAGAGCTGCAGCAAACAAGAAACAAGAAGTTACTTTTGGGGAAATAAACCACATTTTCTTAAAAGTTTTATAGATTTAACAAACCTACAAGTGTTGAAGATCTTACAGCCTCCATGCTCAAATAATGAAACTTAAAGTTAAAGGTGGGGTAGGCAGGATTCTGTTAAAGGAGCATCTTTTTTTGTGGTTTATATACAAAAAAGCTTTTAAGATCAGTCAATATCTATTAGTTATTGATGATATTTGGTAATATCACTGTGATCTCTTATGCCTGTTTCGAGTGGCCTGCTCTTTCTGACTGTAAACAAAGCCGTTCTCCGCCTCCCCGACCTGATTGGTTGTGAGGCAGACGCTGCTCCTTCGTGTTGTTAACGAGCCCAAACAAAGTTAACGTGCTACAATATCGGACAGTAGAAACCAACCAGAAAGTATGGAAAATTGTCTGAATCCTTCTTTGGCCACGACTGCCAACACAAGTGAGAAAACGGAGTAAATACCGGAGACTCTGGTGGAATAACGGGCGCTAAAAAAGAAGGTAGACGAGACAAGAGCTAAAAAGTTGGGTCAACAATGATGGGGGACACTTCGGGAACTTACAGACCCTGTAACCTTTCTGTTGGACAGGTAAACCGCTTTAACAAAGTAAGACAAGTGTCTGTAACAGAAGTGTTTCTTGTCAAACGGGACCTGCTGTAGCGTGTTGACCTCGGGTCCTGGACTATGTCACTTTATCCTAGTTGTAGAAGTCCTGCAAACATCATGTTTGCTGGTAGTCTGTTGGCATCTACAGTAGCACCAATGTTTGTGGGCGGGGCTTGGTGGAGCAGAGAGGGAGGGGAGAGGAAGAGCTGAGGGGAAAACTGGTTTGGAGCGGTCGTGTTTACATTCAAGATTTCTCCAAAAAACTTGCACTTCCTCCCCCAACTTTAGGTAAATTATCTACACGAGGTTTGGTGAAATGAAAAAGGAAAAGACAGGATCGGTTTTGGCGACATTAACCTGACCAGAAAATAAATAAATCTGGGTACATTCAGGCAAAAACTTTCAGGCTAAAAGCCAGAAATAATCAATAATCTGCTTTACTTTCCCATTAACTGCTCCTGAGGGAGAATCTGCAGGCTTTCAGGAAAAGATTTACAGCTTTTCGCCTCGCCCTTCCTGTATTTAACACCAGGTCTGGGCTGGGTGGGAAAGCTTATTATTCCTGAACAAATCAAGGAAGAGCCGCAACAACTCAACCCCGCCGGCCTTCACCGCGGCTGTGATGATGACTTTATTGTTAACTTTTCACCGCCCACACCGGCGGCTCTTAGGGAGTGTTTTCCTGCTTCTGTACCTGACGCACAAAGAGAAACGAACACATTTGAAGCTCTATGGTGGAGGAATTAAAAATGTTGAATTTCTTCTTTTTCGCACGAGAAGGTCAAAGAGAGACTGACAGCTTAGTTACTCCAGCCTGAAACAGTCAAATCTGCAAAAGACGCATCAATACGAGGCGAGGGAGAGACAGGAGCTGATTGGCAATCCAGATAATCCACTCTTAATGAATGATATATGCATCTGATAGTACTTGGAGGACACGGTATCACTCCATTTATCCTGGCGCTGATACATTATTCAGAGGAGGCCAGAGGTTTGTGTGTCACTTTCAGTTGGCTCCTGTATCCATCTGCTCGGCTTTCACCAGTTACCCACCTACGATTTTATGTCTTATTATGCAATTTGGAGTTTCTATTAACTTTTCATCAATGTTGCATGACTCCACGGCTGCAAAAAAGTCAAATTTTAAGAGAAAACAGGACCGCCGGGCTGTAGTAAAGATTATCTGTGATGTGGATTTTGATTTGTTGCATATTAGGCGATGCACACGCACAAGCTCGCCGAGTTTTAAGCGCAGGCCTGAGTGGAATTCAGTGTGAGAGCAAACATAATATAATACCCCCTTACTCACAGCTCCAGAGCAGCTTTTCTTTAATACTACCAGACTACATTTCAGCCCTAGTGGGGCTTCAGAGAGACTTTCTGGTGAAGATTCGCCGGGGTAAAAACACTGTCTGCTTCTGTTAAATAAAATATGTTGCAGGGTCTGTGCTTGCTCTCATGCTGGATTCCTGGCCGAGGGCTTAGGAGTACTTTATTTGGAAGAAGGACAGAAATAAAACCCCCTTAGAGGAGATAAGGAGATGGGGAGAACTGTTCTTATTTTATTTTGTCTGCCGCGTAATAAAGGAACAGATGTCAAATGGTCCAATAACCGTTAAAAGATACTGTCTCTTAACATCCCCCACTTACCGTAGCTTAACATGGTGTCTGGTCACAGAGCCGAAAGGTCCAGGAGTCTGGAAATTTAGAAAAACATGCAAAAATCAAACTTAGTCTTGTAGTTTTTCTTATACCTTACATTTCTTTGAGCATTCTTACTCACCAATATCTGAAAATAATGTGCACATAGCCTGTTAAAGTGTGTCTGTTCGACTCTCTTCACTGTCCCTGTCCTGGCTATTTAAAGAGTTAATGCTTTTCTCTGCTGCCTTTTTATGTCACTCTATTCATCTTGCCTGTTCCCCATTAGCTTGATGTCTCTCTGATGTAATTTCTCAGCAAGGATCAATAAAGTTTCATCTTATTATCTCACTTAAATGAAAAATCTCCCCGCGGACATGAAATAATGTTTATGATGAGGAGGTGCAATTCGCTTTTTTGCAAATTGTTTATCCTCGGTTCACCCTTCTCCGAGTCCACCGCCTCAGCTATTTATTTACTTCATTAACCAGATACCTTTCAGTACATTTTCATGAAGCAGAGTTATGATGTTACAGCGAGATAATAAAGCCAGGGTTTATAGGATGAGTAATTGGCTCATGAGCTGAGATAAAGCATAAAGTAGTAAAACTGTGTCATTGGT